GGAGAGGGAGAAGCAGGCTTCCCATGGAGCAGGGAGCCCGATGTGGGACTCGATCCCAGGACCCTGGGATCATGACCTGAGCCGAAGGCAGACGCTTAACAGCTGAGCCACCCAGGCGCCCCAAAGGCTAGTTTTAAAAATTGAATACCACTTAGTCTGATTCACATAAACATTAATATTTAATTTCATTTTCAAAGTCCAATAATGAAAACTTACAGTTCAACACTGAGTAAGCCACATGTTTAGGTAATATTTCTTAAAAAATAGTTTTTTGTTTTTTGTTTTTTTCTTAAAAAGTCTTAAAATATGGTACAGCACCTAAATTTTCAGTGGCATATATAGGCTATTAACACATGTTCTGAAATCTGGTAGTTTATATCAGTGCTGAGGTCTTTTGTTTCTGTCGTTTTTGTTTTTTTTTTTTTAAGATTTTATTTATTTGTTTGACAGAGACAGCGAGAGAGGGAACACAAGCAGGGGAAGTGGGAGAGGGAGAAGCAGGCTCCCCGCTGAGCCAGAAGCCCGATGTGGGGCTCAATCCCAGGACATGGGGCGCAATCCCAGGACGCTGGGATCATGACCTGAGCTGAAGGCAGACGCTTAACTGACTGAGCCACCCAGGCACCCCTGTTTTTGTTTTTGTTTTGTTTTTAATTTATTTATTTAAGTAACCTCCACACACCCAATGTGGGGCTCGAACTCAGGATGCCAAGATCAAGAGTCACATGCTCCTTCAACAGAACCAGTCAGGCACCCCCTGAATTAACTTTTAATAAAAAAAGAACATTGAGCTTTATACTTTTTCTATGCTACTGTAGTTTTCCTTCTACTCATTTTAGTGTTTCACTTTATACTGTTCACAGTTTTCTTCAAAGTCTTTGAATGCAATCCTACCATGCAAAATTTGGGAAGAAATGATAATTAGAAAACATATAAATGACAAACTTTTATGACTAAGTGTTGATCCAGTCACTAACTGCTAACATATGTGAATGGAATGGCTTTTTTGTTTTTGTTTTTGTTTTTTTTAGTAAGCTCTACACTCAACGTGGGGCTTGAACTCATGTCCCTGAGGTCAAGAGTTGCATGCTCTACTGACTAAGCCAGCCAGGCACCCTGTATTTTTTTTTTTTTTCCAGATTTTATTTCAGAGAGAGAGAGACAGCAGCACAGGGAGGGGCAAGAGAAGGGAGAGGGAGAGAAAATCTTGAGCAGACTCTGCGCTGAGCAGTGGGCTCAATCCCACAACCTGAGCCGAAGTCAAGAGTCGGACGCTCTGCTGATTGAGCCACCTAGACGTCCCTGCCCCTGTATTTTTAATCATCAAGACATCAGTATGGTCTTAAAGCCTTGTGTCTGTGTATGCTTCCCTGTGTGTGAATGGCTTACATAGATGTAACATTGTATGGTGTCCTAGAAAAAGAATGCCGTCAACAAATCAACTAATTGGTACTTCCTTTCATTAGGAAAATTTTATTCCAAGACAGTAGGCTATTGGTAGTTAATTTTGGGGGATTCAAAAGTTATATATGGATTTTCCAAATGTGCGTGGAGGTCAAGCACCTTTAAGGTCCCATATTGTTAGGGGTAACCGTCATTTTTTTGTAGTTTCTAATTCATCACACTATTAACGGTAGAAGAGAGGTGTGTCTGTCATCCTACCTACTTAATGCTAGGCTGCTTTGTGATGCCAGGATTCAGAACACCTAAAAAAGTAATAGGAAAAAATAGACTTTCTGGGATATTGGCTCTGAGCTCTTCTGCTGTCGCAACTTCCAAGGTTCTGAAATTGGTACCAACAGAATGAAACAGAGCAGATCTGAGGTCAGAGCCCTGGCTTGGTGAAGGAGCTGGGTATGATATTTGAATCATGGATACTACTTTGTCAAATGTGTATAACATGCCAATCTTAGAATTTAAAGCACTAATTTTTCCTATGGTCTTTATCTTGTGTTCAGTGAGTATTTTGCTTCTGTTGTCCTAGAACAGTGGTTCTTAACCTTTTTTGGGTCTGTAATTCTCTTGAAAACTGATTAAAGCTTTGGACTTTCTCATCTGCAATTTTGCATACAATAAGGTTAATAGGATCCACTGATTAGAACCTGTGTCCTAGAATTCAGTACCTTTTCCTTTATTGTCATTGTAGTTAACCTCATTTTGAACTTATGCTGGTATTGAGATATTCTCCACTTCTATTTAAATTACTTTTTAAATTCATTTAGTTAGTTCTGGTTTTTTCTCTCTTCCCATCTGTGATATCTGACTTTCCTTAAAAACAAGAAAATATTAATGTGGTAAGGACTTAGGCCATTTAGAAATTTTTTGCCCACCTTAGACTCTTCCTTTTCTCCCTCCTTTTTCAATTTTTAAAAATCAGTATTTTTTGCAGGGAGTAATTTGTAATTTATAGGAACTACAAACATACTTTCTGGGGTTTTTGTTTGTTTTTGCTTTACTTTCTTGTTGGTTTGTTTTATTTTTAAGTAAAATTAGTCTGAGCTTTTATTTTTTATTTTTTATTTATTTATTTATTTTTAAAGATTTTATTTATTTATTTGAGAGAGAGAGAATGAGAGAGAGAGAACACGTGAGAGGGGATAGGGTCAGAGGACGAAGCAGACTCCCTGCTGAGCAGGAAGCCCAATGTGGGACTCGATCCCAGGACTCTAGGATCATGACCTGAGCCGAAGGCAGTCGCTTAACCAGCTGAGCCACCCAGGCGCCCTAGTCTGAGCTTTTAAACAACTGATTTGAACCTCACACTTCTGAAGATTTTCTGGGATAGTCTAGACTAGGTGCTTTGGTTAGTTCATTAACGTTCTCTGTTCTGTTCTTGTAAAGCAAAATACTGTTCTTTCTATAAGGTTGTTAACTAATAATTAAAGAGCAGCATTTTTTTCAGGTTATTTTCAGATACAAGCAAGATGCTTTGGAAAAGGGAGTGTTCCATGTGTAAATATTGCTTTTCTGGCAATCTTTTGAGATTCAGAATGCTGAGTTGGCATATTAAGGGTTCTGAGAAATCCTTTTTCTCAGAAATTTAAGTCATTATGGTTAATTTTATCTCATTGCCCCATATAGTAGTGCACTAAAATTAAAAACTTTTTGTGCTTTTAAACAATATGCATAATTCGCTGTTTCCTAAACTTCTTTTTTAAAGTAAGCTCTGTGCCCATTGTAGGTCTTAAACTCATGACCCTGATGAGATCAAGAGTTGCATGCTCTACCAGCTGAGCCAGCCAGGTGCCCCTGTTTCCTTAGCTTTTTGAACCTTGGGCCCTTTTTTTTGTTTTCTGACTTTAATGTCCTGGGGAGCTAGTTAGTCATTGTTCCAGGAGATGCAATTTTGGGAATGGTAGTGCTGCATTGCAGTTTTTATTTTTATTTTTTAATTTGACTTATTTGTTTTTTAAAGATTTTATTTATTCATTTGCAAGAGAGACAGAGAGGCAGAGAAAACATAAGTAGGGGGAGGGGCGGAGGGAGAGGGAGAAGCAGGTTCCCTGCTGAGCTGGGAGCCCGACATGGGGCTCCATCCCAGGACCTGGAGATATGACCTGAGCTGAAGGCAGACACTTAACTGACTGAGCCACCCAGGCGCCCCATACACTGCAGTTTTTAGTTGATTGCTTTTTGCATTCATTGGAATTGCATGAAAACATCAAGTAAAATCTTTCTCATGTTCTCTTGAGCTCTTAGCCTTGTTTAAGCATACATTCAACATTAAGTACCTAATCTATCGTATTCTGAGTCCTCTCCCAATTTAGTTTTATCAAATTATAATTTTAAGTCACTATGGTTAATTTTATCTCATTGCCCCATATAGTAGTGCACTAAAATTAAAAACTTTTTGTGCTTTTAAACACAAAAGTTGGGGTGCCTGAGTTCAGTTAAGCGTCTGCCTTTGGCTTAAGTCATGATCTCCAGGTCTTGGGATCTAGCCCTACATCAGGCTTCCGGCTCATTGGGGAGTCTGTTTCTCCCTCTCCCTCTACCCATCCCCCTCCACTTGCTCATGCTCTCTCACTTTCTCTCTCACAAGAGTAAATAAAATCTTAAAAAAAAAAACACACAAAAGTTGCTTTGGTCTGTTTCCTAGTTTTTATTTTTATTTATTTAAGATTTTATTTATTTATTTGACAGAAAGAGAGAGGGGCAGCCAGAGAGGGAACACAAGCAGGGGGAGTGGGAGAGGGAGAAGCAGGCTTCCCGCCGAGCAGGGAGCCCGATGTGGGGCTCGATCCCAGGATGCTGGGATTATGACCTGAGCCAAAGGCAGATGCTTAACGACTGAGCCACCCAGGCGCCCCTGTTTCCTAGTTTTTATTTTATTTTATTCATTTTATTTTATTTTTTTAAAGATTTATTTGACAGAGATAGAGAGAGAAGGAACACAAGCAGGGGGAGAGGGAGAGGGAGAAGCAGGCTTCCCACAGCGCAGGGAGCCTAATGTGGGGCTCGATCCCAGGACCCTGGGAACATGACCTGAGCCGAAGGCAGACGCTTAACGACTGAGCCACCCAGGCGCCCCTGTTTCCTAGTTTTTAAATTAATGCAAAGTAGGTATATGAAAAGTTTGTCCAACGGAAAGTTTTAGGGTGGATCACTTCCAGCAGCACTGTCTTCAATATATGATTCTCATCTACTTGGAGATAAAACAGTAAATTCTAGATAAATAAAGTAAGACAGTTTATTTTCTGCTCTTTTTCCTAAAAATACTTCTTGAGAGTACTTTAGCCTCTTGGTCTAGGTAAGGTTGTAGTTTAATTTTATAGAATAATGTTTTCTTATATCTATTACGACATGAAAATTTAGTATAAAGCCACTGGGATCTGAGGAGACACTTGAATCAATTAAATTTAATAAGCATTACTGGAATTTTGCTTTAGGTTTTTACTAAACAATGGCAGAACATAATTCATTAAGCACTTACGAAAAATTCCTAGAAAGGATCCAAATAATGCTTTTTTTTTTTCTTTTCCTTTTTAATCTCATTTTAGCTGCATTGGGTGTTCAACAGCCATCACTCCTTGGAGCATCTCCTACCATTTATACCCAGCAAACTGCATTAGCAGCAGCAGGCCTTACCACACAAACCCCAGCCAACTACCAGTTAACTCAGACTGCAGCCTTGCAGCAACAAGCTGCAGCTGCAGCAGCTGCATTGCAACAGGTGAGTCTTTATTGGGTTTCAGTCTGTGACATATTAAACTGTCATATCTGAGTAGCCAGATGATTCTTAAAGAATTAATAATTGTGGGTTTTGTTTTGTTTTGTTTGAGATTTATTTATTTGAGAGAGGGAGTCCATGTGTGTGCATGCACACACATGCACAGGGTGGACGGGCAGAGAGAGAGGGCGAATCCCAAGCAGACCCCGCGCTGAGCATGGAGCCTGAGATGGGGTTGGATCCCAGGACCCCGAGATCATGACCTGAGCTGAAACCAAGAGTCAGACACTTAACTGACTGTGCCCCCCAGGTGCCCCAATAATTGTATATTTTTATTATGCTTATTGTTTTTTAAGGTAATAAAAATTGTATATGCCTAAGACAGAACACTACATTTGCATGGTCAAAATTCTTAAAATGGGCAGTTCTTATACCTTAATTATTTGAATAAAATTCAGTTCTTAATGAATCCCAGAGTATAAAGAATCACCAGTTTGCTTATTTTTGGTGAAGTTCAGTTGTTCCATAAAATTTCTTTGTAGTGTGATTTTGTTTATGTATTTGTATGTATGTATATCGCTTCTTGAGAATGAATAAAACTGATTTCATATTTCTTTTCATAAATCTTTTTTTTTCCAGCAATATTCACAACCTCAGCAGGCCTTGTATAGTGTGCAACAACAGGTTAGTTTATATTTTCCATGTTTAAAACTGATAGAAAAAAAAAAATAACTTGTCCCAGATTCAGTTTATATAGATTTTATTTCCTGTCAGCTACATTAATATGTGATTTGAATTCTTTGGTAGTGGGCTAAATGAGGTAGGCAAAAAAGGAATGTCTCCAAGGGAGAGGAGGAAGATAGAGGTCCTGAAAATCCAAATCCTCAATTAGCAGCCAGTCTTTGTCACATGTTTGTTTTTTTTTTTAAAGATTTATTCATTTATTTATTTGAGAGAGAGCATGGGGGGGTACAGAGTTGGAGGGAGAAGCAGACTCCCCACTGAGCAGGGAGCCCGACACTAGGCCGGATCTCAGGACCCCAGGATCAGGACCAGAGCCGAAGGCAGATGTTTAACTGACTGAGCCACCCAGGCGCCCCTGTCACATTTCTGGGGAGGCATGCAGAGGATAATTTGGAAAGAATCACTGGACTACTGAATCTTTGACCCAGTTCTTCTGTGTGGAACATCTAGCCCTACTGTGCTGTACTAGACCACATGTGAAAATGAAAAGATCCTTTTTCCCATTTGAAGCCTTAACCCTAGATAGACCATTGGCTTTGAGCCTTTATTTTTTATTTTAATTTTTTTCTTTTCATAGAGCGAGAGCGTGCACGGGGGTGGGAGAAGCAGAGGGCGAGGGAGAAAGAATCTTAAGCAGGCTCCATGTCCAGCATGGAACCCGATGTGGGACTCAGTCTCACAACCTTGAGATCATGACCGGGGCCAAAATCAAGAGTTAGATGCTTAACTGACTGAACCACCCAGGCTGCCCCTACTTGAATTTTTTTAATCTTTTAAGTTTTTTTTAAATGTAAGCTCTATGCCCAGCATGGAGCGTGAACTCATGACTATTGACATCAAGAGTCGCATGCTCTACCGAATGACCCAGCCAGGCACCCCATGAACCTTTATTTTTTATCTTTATTTTTTTTAAGATTTTATTTATTAGAGCGGTGGGAGGGGCAGAGGGAGAAGGAGAAACAGACTCCCCGCTGAGCAGGGAGCCCAACATGGGGCTCCATCCCAGGACCCCGAGATCATGACCTGAGCCGAAGACAGATGCTCAACCGACTGAGCCACCCAGGTGCCCATTGTTTTATTTTTCTTGAGATTCTACTTATGAGTGGAATTACACAGTATTTGTCTTTCTCAGTCTGACATATTTCTCTTAGCATAGTACCCTCTAGGTCCATCTGTGTTGTCTCAAATGGCACAAGCTCATCCTTTTTATGGTTGTGTAATACTCCGTTGCAGGTGTGTGCCTGTGTATACCCACCAGGTTTTCCTTATCCATTTATCTGTTGATGGACAGTTATGTTCCTTCCATATCTTGGCTGTTGTAAATAATGCTGCGGTAAACATAGGGATACATACATCATTTGAAATTAGCATTTTTTCTTCTTGGGTAAATATCCGATAGTAGAATTATTAGATTATATGGTATTTCTATTTTTTATTTTATGAGGAACCTCCATACTGTTTTCCATGTGGTTGTACCAGTTTATATTCCACCAAAAATACATGAAGGTTTTTTTTCTCCACATCCTCCTCAACACTTGTTTCTTGTGTTTTTGATTTTAGCTGTTTTGACAGGTGTGAGATGATACCTCATTGTGGTTTTGATTTGCATTTCCCTGATGATGACTGATATTGAGCATCTTTTCATGTTTCTCTTCTCAATATGTTTTGTTTTGAACAGTGTTCATTTCCTCTACCCATTCTTTAATTGGATTGTTTGATTCTTGGTGTAAGATTTTGTGTGTTCTTTATATATTTTGTGTATTAACCCCTTATCGAATATATCATTTAGAGTGCCAATGATTTTTTCTTTCCAATGATATTTCTGTAGCATGGTGACCAACATGTCAATAATAGAAATTTTCCCATCTAAGGACTTAAGGTTTTTGTTGTGTGTGTGTGTTTTTGTTTTGGGTTTTTTGGGTGTTATTCCTATGAAATAAGATAAAAGACAATTTCTTTATTGGATGTGTTAGTTTTTTTTGTTTTGTTTTGTTTTTAAAGATTTTATGTTTAGGGGCACCTGAGAGGCTCAGTCAGTTAAGCGTCTGCCTTCAGCTCAGGTCATGATCCCAGGGTCCTGGGATTGAGTCCCGCATCGGGCTCTGCAGCAGGGAGCCTGCTTCTCCCTCTCCCTCTGCCTGCGCTCTCCCTACTTGTGGGCTCTCTCTCTCTCTCTTGCTCTCTGTGTCTCTCAAATGAATAAATAAAATCTTAAAAAAATAAAAGATACTATGTTTAGTAATCTCTGCACCCAACGTGGGGCTCAAACTTAGAACACTGAGATCAGTAGTTGCATGCTCTACTGACTGAGCCAGCCAGGTGCCCCATTGAGTAAGTTATACATCAGGTCTGTAATTAGAAATAGTTGCAGGAAATCTTAATACCTATTGACTTCTGTTATTTTTCACCATATTTCTTTTTTTTTTTTTTTTAAAGATTTTATTTATTTATTTGAGAGAGAGAATGAGAGAGAGAGCACATGAGAGGGGGGAGGGTCAGAGGGAGAAGCAGACTCCCTGCCGAGCAGGGAGCCCGATGTGGGACTCGATCCCGGGACTCCAGGATCATGACCTGAGCCGAAGGCAGTCGCTTAACCGACTGAGCCACCCAGGCGCCCTCACCGTATTTCTTAATTAGAGATGAAGTACCCATTTAATAGAAATTTTTCTTTATAAGAGCATCTGTGAAATAATTTTGATTGATCCTTTTCTTTTTTCTTCCCTGTTTTTGTTTTTTTCTATTTTCAGTTACAGCAACCTCAGCAGACCCTTTTAACACAGGTTAGTTTGCCATTAATTTATTTCTTTTGGATATCTGAATGAGGAATAGACCAAAATTTTATTCCTATTCTAGTATTTCTTTCAGGGTTTGAAGATGAATATTGGTTGGATTTATATATTATTTTAAGAATATATGAAATAAAGATGGAATGCATGTTGTCATTTTGTCTTTTATGGTTTTTGATTGCAGATCCAGCTGTGATCTAGGTTGAATAAATATGAGGTCTTACTTTAAATGTAATTTTTTTTTAAAGATTTTATTCATTTATTTATTTGATAGGGAGGGAGAGGGGTAGAGGGAGAGAGAGAGAGAAGCAGTCTCTGCTGAGGAGGGAGCCCAATGCGGGGCCTGATCCCAGGACACTGGGATCATGACCTGAGCCTGAAGGCAGACGCTTAACCAACTGAGCCGCCCAGGTGTCCCTAGACTTGATTCTTATTTTAAACGTAATTCCTTTTTTTTTTTTTTTTTTAAGATTTTATTTATTTATTTGACAGAGACACAGCAAGAGAGGGAACACAAGCCGGGGGGAGTGGGAGAGGGAGAAGCAGGCTTCCTGCTGAGCAGAGCCTGATGTGGGCCTTGATCCCAGTACCCTGAGATCATGACCTGAGCCAAAGGCAGACGCTTAATGACTGAGCCATCCACGCGCCCCTAAACTTAATTCTTAATGCATTTTCATTGTAGCTAATATTTTTAGGAATTTTTTTTTTAACGTGTTATTTTATTTTATTTTTTTACCTGTTATATCATTTTAAGCTTGACCTTAGTAGGGTATTGTATTACATTATCAGTTTAAGTTTTCAGCAGCATTAAAAATTTTTGAACTTCAAGAAATACATACTTATTTGAGAGAGAGAGAGAGTGTGCATGGTAAAGAATAGAGGGAGAGGGACAAACAGACTCTGCACTTAGTGCAGAGCCTGATGTGGGGCTTGACCCTGAGACCATGACCTGAGCCAAAATCAAGTCGGAGGCTTAACCAACCAGCCACCCAGGCTCCCCCGTTTTTAAACTTAATGATACGTAGTGTTCCTTTAGGTTTGTGGACCACCTATAGTCTTTGTTGCATTTTTTTTTTTTCTTTTTAAAAATTATTTTAAAGTGTTAGAAACCAGGGTACATGGGTGACTCAGTCAAGGTTAACCATCTGACTTCACTCAGGTCATGATCTCTGGGTCCTGAGATCGAGATAAGGCTCCCTGCTGAGCATGGAGTCTGTCCCTCTCCCCCTCCCCGCCCACATTCATGCTCTGTCTCAAATAAATTAATAAAATCGTTAAAAATTAATAAAGTGTAAGAAACCATCACTGGTTTTTGAGCTATACAAAAATCACAAAATCATAAACTGTGGGCTGGATTTGGACCAAGGACCATGGTTCGCTGACTTAAAGTGAAATACTATGAAATGGATAAAAAGGAAGCAGAACCTGTAATAATAACTGGTGACAGTGATTATCCATGGATAGGGAATTAGGTAGTTGACGAACAGGAGTAGGGGAGAAGCTTTGTACTCTGTAATCTTTCATACCATTTTAGTCTTGAATCTGTTGTATTTGTAAAAAAAAACCAAAATGCACTTGAGAAGTCAGCCTTACTTTATTTTCATTAAGGAATCAAAATCAACTGACACTGGTCCTGAATTTTCAATCTTTAATAGTAGAATTTCCATACTAAGAAAAGCTATAAACATTAGTCTTTTCTTGGAATAGCATCCATAAATCATTATTGTCTTAGAATATTAAAGAAATTTCATGAGAAATAATTTTGTGGTCGTAGTCTGAGAAACGTAGGCTGAGAAATAGTCATACTATATATATGACTTGGCCTTTTTTGTTTAAATTACAGAAATTAAGAGACTTGCTTTATTGGGCAAGTATAAAACAAATTTGTCTTGAAGAGTCAGATGATTGTTCATTTCTAATTATTTTATTTCTATTTGTATATAGAAGTTTTAATCAGTAATATACTGTGCATGTCTGTGTCAGAAAAGATGAATGAAAGTGTTAACATTTTTTTTGTTCAGTGTTATGGAAAGATAATTGATCTGTAATATTGTATTAATATAAGGTATACAATATAGTTTGATTTATCTATGTATTGTGAAATGATGACCATAGTTTTTTTATTTTTTGTTTTTTTAAAGAATTTATTTATTTGACAGAGACACAGCAAGAGAGGGAACACAAGCAGGGGGAGTGGGAGAGGGAGAAGCAGGCTCCCCACTGAGCAGGGAGCCCGATGCAGGGCTCGATCCCAGGACCCTGGGATCATGACCTGAGCCGAAGGCAGGTGCTTAACGACTGAGCCACCCAGGCGCCCCATCATAATCAGTTTTTTTTAACATGAATCACCTCACATAGTTAAAAATTTTTTTCTGTTGAGAACTTTTAAGAGCTGTCAAATATACAATACTGTATTATAGTTACCATGCTGTACAGTACATCCATGGAACTTATTTATCTTATAACTAGAAGTTTGTGCTTTTTGACCAGTTTCACCCGTTTCTTCCTCCCTCCATACCCTTGGCAGTCACCAAGGTTCTGTTCTGTTTCTATAAATTTTTTGTTTTTTTAGATTTCACCTGTAAGTGAGATCATACATACTTGTCTTTCGCTGACTTATTTCACTTATATAGGACTTTCCTGAGTATTAGGCCACTATTGTTTTGAATTTCTAAGAGGGGACTGAAATTTACAGGTTTTTTTTTTTAAGTAATCTCTACTCCCAATGTGGGGCTTGAACCCAGAACCCCAAGATCAAGAGTTGCACACTCCACCAACTGAGCCAGCCAGGCACCCCCTAATATATGCAGTTATTTTTTTAAGGCGGGGTTGCACAGGAAGAGGGAGAGAGAGAATGAGAATCCTAAGCAGGCTCCATGCCTAGCACATGAGTCTGACGGGCTCGATCTCACAACCCTGAGAAATCATGAGTCTGATGCTTAACTGACTGAGCTACCTAGGCACCCCAATGTGCATTATTTAGAGAGTGTGTGTGCGTGCTCAAGCGTGAGGAGGAGCAGAGGGAGAGGGAGTAAGAAAGTCCCAAATGGACTCCCTGCTGAGTGCAGAGCCCAACACGGGGCTCGATTTCATGACCCTAGATCATGACCTGAGCCAAAATCAAGAGTTTGGACGCTCAGCCTGAGCCACCCAGGCGCACCTGCAGTATTCTTTTTTTTTTTTTAATTTTTATTTATTTGACAAAGAGAGAGACAGCGAGAGACGGAACACAAGCAGGGGGAGACGGCGTGGGAGAAACAGGCTTCCCGCAGAGCAGGGAACCCAATGCGGGGCTCGATCCCAGGACCCTGGGATCATGACCTGAGCTGAAGGCAGACGCTTAACGACTGAGCCACCCAGGCGCCCCCGCACCTGCAGTATTCTTAAAACTCATTTCACTATGGTGAACTTAATGTTGAGGTAGATTAAAAAAAAAAAAGGTTTTTTTCAGACTTGATTCTCATCTTCAAGGTGTACATGTGTATTTCCTAACTTTAAATAAGTTAATTTTACATTTTGAGTTAGTTTTGAGTGCTCATTTTTAATTTCTAGAGTATTTCAAAGCATTAGCTTGATTTGATCTTGATTTTGTTTTATAGCCAGCTGTTGCACTGCCTACAAGCCTTAGCCTGTCTACTCCTCAGCCTGCAGCACAGATAACTGTATCGTATCCAACACCAAGGTCCAGTCAGCAACAAACCCAGCCTCAGAAACAGCGTGTTTTTACAGGAGTGGTTACAAAACTACATGATACATTTGGATTTGTGGATGAAGATGTATTCTTTCAGCTTAGGTAACTTAATTAGGTGTTGGCAAATGCCTTCTTGTATTTAGCCTGAAATATATTGATAAGACCTAATTGTGGCATAGGATTGTGGTTTAGTTATTTTTTGTTTTAGTCACCTGGCTTGTATTATATTTGTATCTAGCCTTTTTTTCTGGAGAATATGAGTGAAGATATCTCTGGTTACTTAATAAAATAGTTACGGTGAATTCTTTATACATGTTTTATAGGAGTGAGTTAATTTTTCCAACTCTTCATGGGCAGACTTACAGTGAGAATAGAGATTGAAATAGTCATATGCCTTTTAAAATTTAATCTTTTGTTTGACATATTTAATGATGCTATGTACTAAAAAAGCATTTTTTAATTGAAAAATTAACGAGTAAGATTGAACGATTAATGACTGACATATTCAGAATAGTATTTTGTTAGTGTGATGGTGGTTGCATGAAAGATTTTCCTTGGATATTTCAACTGTGTTCCTAGTGAACTGCCTTAGAAAGACTTTATTTGGGAAATTAAATTTAACTATCATGAGAGTTTTCTAAAAATGGGTCTCCTGTGTTCCATCTGCATTTCTCTTACCACTCCACAGCCCAAAGGAAATCTTACTTTTGGGTTATAGAAGTTAGTACTGTAGAAGGAGGGACACAATATTGGGAGAATATGAGGTGCAAAGTTATTTCTTCCACTTCAAACCCTGTGTTTTTTAGGGAGGGTGAAACATGATCAGTTCTAAAATAAAATAAGTCTAGGAGGTATATTTACTTTTTAAAAGGGCTTTTTTTAGACTTCCATTTCAGATAGTTTACGTAAGGTAAAATACTACAAGTATACATTTTTTTTGGAAGAATCTCTTAATTGAATGTATATTTAACTTATTTTCCAGTGCTGTCAAAGGGAAAACCCCCCAAGTGGGTGACAGAGTATTGGTTGAAGCTACATATAATCCCAATATGCCTTTTAAATGGAATGCTCAAAGAATTCAGACGCTACCAAATCAGGTATATAAAATAACGGAGTTAGGTGTTATAGAAACTTGGTGATTCAGTTTACTAATTTTCAGAGTTTTTTCTTTCTCTTTAAAATTTTTATTTTATTTCTTTATTTTTATTAAGAATCAATCCCAAACTCAACCTTTACTGAAGACTCCTCCTGCTGTACTTCAGCCAATTGCACCACAGACGACGTTTGGTGTTCAGGCTCAGCCCCAACCCCAGTCCCTCCTGCAGGCCCAGATCTCAGCAGCTTCTATTACACCATTATTGCAGACTCAGCCACAGCCTTTATTACAGCAGCCACAGCAGAAAGGTATTACTTGCAGTGTGTCTTTTCTGTTTCAGACTAACACGTAACTTTTACAACTGTAGTTGTTAAAACAACGAGAATATGCTTTTTTAAAAAAGGCAAGGATTTCCAAAATACTTGAAAGGAGGTTTAAGTATCTTGTGCAGGCCACTTCTACTTACGTAGCTGTTTGGAAGTATTTTTATTTTATTGCTCTTATAGAAAGACATGCTCTTTGTGAACTTAAATGTCAATATTAATCCCCAGTCCCTTTATTGGTATCTTATCTGTAATGGAAGGAAATGTCATATAATCAACATTTTATTTATTTATTTATTTTTTTTTAAAAAGATTTTATTTATTTTTTTGAGAGAGAATGAGAGAGAGCGAGCACATGAGAGGGGGGAGGGTCAGAGGGAGAAGCAGACCCCCTGCTAAGCAAGGAGCCCGTTATGGAACTTGATCCCGGGACTCCAGGATCATGACCTGAGCCGAAGGCAGTCGCCCAACCAACTGAGCCACCCAGGCGCCCTTATTATTATTTTTTTAAGATTTATTTATTTAGGGGGGAGGGGAGGACAGGGAGAGAGAGAATCTACAAGCAGACTCCCCGCTGAGCAGGGAGCCCAACATGGGGCTCAATCCCAGGACCCTGAGATAATGACCTGAGCCAAAATCTAGAGTTGCCCACTTAACCGACTGGGCCAACCAGGTGCCCCTACACATAATATTTTATATATGTGTTGTCTGGTGATAGTACTTTAAATTATCCATTGAATTACAGTGCATGAAATAAATGAGCTGTATTTTACATTTTCCTGTGCAAATTAATTATTTGACATTGGGGACACTTTTTATTGAAGTATTAACAAGATAGCCTTGGCTTCACAGAAGCCTACTTTTTTTTTTTTTTTTAAAGATTTTATTTATTTATTTGAGAGAGAGAATGAGATAGAGAGAGAGAGAGCATGAGACAGGGGAGGGTCAGAGGGAGAAGCAGACTCCCTGCCGAGCAGGGAGCCCGATGCGGGACTCGATCCTGGGACTCCGGGATCATGACCTGAGCCGAAGGCAGTCGCTTAACCGACTGAGCCACCCAGGCGCCCGCCTACTTTTTTTTTTAAAGATTTTATTTATTTTGAGAGAGTGAGAGAGCGAGCATGAGGGTAGTAGGGAGAGGAAGAAGCAGACTTCCCGCCGAGCAGGGAGCCAGGTGCGGGGCTCGAACCCAGGACCCTGGGATCACGACCTGAGCTGAAGGCAGGCAGTCAGCCAACTGACCCACCAGGCACCCCAACAAAAGCCTAATTAATTGGCTTGTTGTTATTGTTTTTGGTAGGGTGGTTTTTTTTTTTTCTTTAATATATATATATTTTAGAGGAGAGAGAGAGTGCACAGGAGGAGGGGGAAGAGCAGAGGGGGAGGGAGAGGAGAGAAAGAAACTCAAGCAGATTCCGCCAAGCGTGTAGCCCAGTGTGAGGCTCCATCCCATGACCATGAGATCATGACGTGAGCCAAAATCAAGAGTCAGATGCTTAGTCAGCTGAGCCATGCAGGCACCCCTAATTAGTATTTTTTTTTTTTTTAAGATTTTATTTATTTGACAGAGACAGACACAGCGAGAGAGGGAGCACAAGCAGGGGGGTGGGAGAGGGAAAAGCAGGCTTCCCGCCGAGCAGGGAGCCCGATGCAGGGCTCAATCCCAGGACCCTGGGATCGTGACCTGAGCCGAAGGCAGACGCTCAACTAACTGAGCCACGCAGGCACCTGACTTATTTTTTCCCAACATTATGTTCTAAAAGTTTCTCATACTATTTTTTTTCTTTTAAAGATTTTATTTATTTGACAGAGAGACACAGGGAGAGAGGCAACACAAGCAGGGGGAGTGGGATCATGACTCGAGCTGAAGGCAGATGCTTAACGTCTGAGCCACCCAGGCACCCCTCTCATACTAGTTTTTCCATCTGGCTGATTCTTCATTTTCATTATTAGATAATATCACACATACGAATATTGTACAGTTTATCTGTTTTCTGGTAAACGTTAGGATTATTTCTAGTTTTTGGTTTCAGAGAATGCTGTTAAAAATGTCCTCTCATATGTGTCCAGGAGCATGTGCCCAGGTTTCTGTAGGACATACATATACCTTCAGGTGGAATTGCAAGGTCTGAGGGTTTGTGTAACTTAAACTTACTAGATAATGCCAGGGTGTTTTCAGTCTACTTGGTTCTTCCAAATATCTGCCCGGTAGTCCTGTGATTTCTTTTCTGTTTTTATTTATTTATTTATTTTCTAAAGATTTTAATTATTTATTTTCTAAAGATTTTAATTATTCATTTGTTAGAGCACAAGCAGGGGAAGCAGCAGGCAGAGGGAGAAGCAGGCTCCAGCTGAGCAAGGAGCCCTACATGGGGCTCAATCCCAGGACCCTGGGATCATGACCTGAGCCGAAGGCAGACCCTTAACTGACTCAGCCACCCAGGCATCCCTCTGTTTGTTTTTAAAGATTTTATTTAGGGGTGCCTGGGTGGCTCAGTTAAGCATCTGCCTTTCGCTTAGGTCGTGATCCCAGAGTCCTGGGATCAAGCCCCACATCAGGCTCTTTGCTTAACTTCTCCCTCTCTGCCTGCTACTCCCATGCTCGTGCACTCTCTCTGTCAAATAAATAATAAAAACTTAAAAAAAAAAAACAACTTAAAAAATTTCCATTGGCAGCTATGGATTCCTTTTCATAAGAGTTAGCTGTTTCTTTCCTCCCCACAATTTTTATCATGAAAATTTTCAAGCATACAAAAATGTTGAAAGAACAGTGAAGTGATCAGTTATATACTTACAACCTTGTAAAATTGTTAACATTTTATTATGTGTTTTGCCTGCTTACTTGTGTACAAATACATACAGTTTTTGCTTATTCCTTTGAAGTAGTTAGCAGACACTGGGATGTTTCACCCCTATATACTGAAGCATGTCCTTTCTAAAAGAGACCCATTTTTCTTTTCTTTCCTTTTCTTTTTTTTTTTTAAGATTTCATTTATTTAGGGTGCCTGGGTGGCTCAGATGGTTGGGCATCTGCCTTCGGCTCAGGGCATGATCCCAGGGTCTTGGGATCGAGTCCCACATTGGTTCCCTGCTCAGCAGGGAGCCTGCTTCTCCCTCTGCCTCTGTCTGTCTCTTATGAATAAATAAATAAAAAGCTTTAAAAAAAAATTTGACAAAGAGAGACAGACAGTGAGAGAGAGGGACACAAGCAAGGGGAGTGGGAGAGGGAGAAGCAGACTTCCTGTGGAGCAGGGAGCCTGATGTAGGGCTCCATCCCAGGACCCTGGGATCATAACCTGAGCTGAAGGCAGACGCTCAATGACTGAGCCACTTAGGTGCCCCGAGACCATTTTTCTATATAACTACAATCTATTATCACATCTAAGAAAAAGCATTTAAGTATTCTCAGTATATTCAAATCTCCCCATTTGTCTCCCCGAGGTCTTTGAAGGTTGTGTTTTGTTTCCTAAACAAAAAGTCAATCAGCTTTTATCCGTTGTGTTTGGTTATGTTATTTTAGGTTTTTTATTCTAGAATAGTTACCCACATTTTCTTTTCTTCAAATATTTATTTAAGAGAGAGTGCAGGGGTGGAGGGGGAGCCAGAGGGCAGAAGGAGAGGGAGAGAGAATCCCAAGGCAGACTCCCCACTGGTGGAAAGCCCGAGGCAGGGCCCTATCCCTGGACCCTGGGATTATGACTGGAGCTGAAATCAAGAGTTGGACACTCAACTGACTAAGCAACCCAGGTGCCCCAGTTTCCCGCTTTTTCTTCTTCCTTTACAACATTGACTTTTTTAAGAAATTGGGCTAGTTGTCCTGTAGATTCTTTTGGAATGTTGTATAATGGATTTGCCTTTATTCCTTGTGACAGTTTTATCTTGTTCCTCTATCTGCCATATAAACTATGAACCTAGTAGATAAGTCTAAAGGCTTTGGTAAGGGGTGCCTGGGTGGCTCCGTCAGTTAAGCATCAGTCTTCTGATTTAGGTTTCAGTGCATGATCTCAGGGTTGTTAGATTGAGTCCCCACATCAGGCTCCTTGCTGGGTGTGGAGCCTGCTTAAGATTTTCTTTCTTCCTCTCCTTCTGCCCCCCCCCCCTCCACCGCCCGGCTCACTTGTGCTCTCTCTCTCTCTCTCTCTCTTTTTTTTTTTTTAAGATTTTATTTATTTGCGCGAGAGAGATTGAGAGACAGCATGAGAGGGGGTAGGGTCAGAGGGAGAAGCAGACTCCCTGCTGAGCAGGGAGCCCAATGTGGGACTCGATCCCAGGACTCCAGGATCATGAACTGAGCCGAAGGCAGTCGCTTAACCAACTGAGCCACCCAGGCGCCCTGTGCTCTCTCTCTTAAAAAAAGAAAAAGAAAGGCGTTGGCCAGGACACCTTATAGGTGATGTTTTGTAATTTGTATTGCACATGTCAGATTCTTCCATTAATTGATGCTAAATTTCATAACTAGGTCAGAGTGGAGATCTCTCCATAATAAGGAGTTCTTTTTCTCTGTGGAACCTCTGGATGATAGTTTGGCACCCTGTGAATAACTTGTACAGCAGTCTTTGTACTCTCTGTGGATCAGGGATTTCAAACTATAGCCCTTTGATTTGGTCCATGGCCTGGTTTATATGGTGACTGAGCTATAAATGGCTTTTGCATTTTTAAATGATTACAAAAATATATACAAATATACAAGTGGTGTCTACTATTTGTTGGCCACGAAGCTTAAAACATCAGCCAGCTTTTTCTAGTTGTAAAACTTAACTGGGTAATGCTTTTATTTAAGTCAAAATATTTTTTGTGTGTGTCTTTTAAAGCTGGTTTATTGCAGCCTCCTGTTCGTATAGTTTCACAGCCACAACCAGCACGAAGATTAGATCCACCATCCAGATTTTCAGGAAGGAATGACAGAGGGGATCAAGTGCCTAACAGAAAAGATGACCGAAGGTATTTTTTTTTAAGTGTACTTTTTTTTTTTTTTTTTAAAGATTTTATTTATTTATTTGACAGAGAGAGACACAGCGAGAGAGGGAACACAAGCAGGGGGAGTGGGAGAGGGAGAAGCAGGCCTCCCGCTGAGCAGGGAGCCCGATACGGGGCTCGATCCCAGGACTCTGGGATCGTGACCTGAGCTGAAGGCAGACGCTTAATGACTGAGCCACCCAGACGCCCCTAAGTGTACTTTTTTTAAGTGTACTTTTTAAGTGTACCTTTGATGGTGGTGAAGGTGCACACTGTGAATGCATGTGATGCCACAAACTGTACATTTAAAAATGGTTAAATGGTGAGTTTGTGTTACACATACTGTACAACAGTTTTTAAGAAGTTGTTAAAATATATTAGCGAATCTTATATTATCTATTTTATTAAAAAACGGTTCAATAATGCCAGAAATATTAGTAATTTTAGAACATTTTGTTTTAAGTCGTGAAAGGGAGAGAGAACGACGTAGATCCAGAGAAAGATCTCCTCAGAGAAAACGTTCCCGGGAGAGATCTCCTCGAAGAGAGAGAGAACGATCACCTCGGAGAGTTCGACGTGTTGTTCCACGTTACACAGTTCAGTTTTCAAAATTTTCCTTAGATTGGTAAGTTCTTTTCCCCCCATTGTTTTATTGAATTACCAGTTTTATAATTTGTCTAATTTAGTAGAATGTTACAGAGATATTTTTCTTACAACTTTCATTCCTGACATTTACTTTATATAGGGCAGAAATGCAGTTTGAAGTAGGAGTGTATTTTCGTATATTCATCAAATCATTAAAGATAGTTACTGAAAAAGAGCCACTTGTGATCAACTTGTGTTTTTTTTTTTAATTTGTTTCTTAAAGTTAATCATTTAAGGTCCAGATTTATTGATAACTTTATTAAGTCCATGCGTAGTTCATTGTGTATGATGAAGTAATAACACAGCAGTGGACCAGTTATTTCAAGTTAGCTGTGACGATGTGGCATCATAGCAACATAGACCTTCATATACACTCACAGACATATATACATGTATATAAATACATTTTTCAGCCTTTGGAGTCAGAGTTAATAGGCAAGTTGACAAGAATTTCTTAGTTTCACCTGCAAAATGGAAATTTTATCAACTAGTAGAATTCCTAAGGTTAAATTAAGTTTGTGTATCTAAAGCACTTAATCCAGTCTGTGGCAGTTGTAGATACTCCATAATTAATGGTGGTGGTGGGATGTCATGGCCAGGTAGTAACTACAAAGTTGTAATTCATAAAAACGCAAATTGGTCAAATGACTGATTTAGTCTAAGGGAAGGGAGGAATTATCTAAAGGCCCTGGGATGGGACTGGCAATTGAATATAAGATAAATTAACAAATGGAGAAAACAAATTGACAATAAAATAAAAATGAATCATTAAAAGCAGTGTTTAAAGCTGTTTAGCATAGGAACAAATAACTGTGCGCTTCAGTCTCCTGAGGATATATTACTGTGTTTCAACGAAGAATAATAATATTGATAATACTGACCTGTCAGAAATTTAAATTTCTATATATTCAGTTCTAGGTTGAGTAAAACAGTGTAAACTTAAACTACTCAATGCCAAAAAAAATCTTTCTTAGGAACTTTGCTTAATTGTTAGATAGTTCATGTTCATTTAGTCATGTGGTCAAATGAGCAACTATTCTTCATTTATACTACTTTTCTTGTTACTCCTATTTACTTTTATCTAGATTGCATATATCAGAGAAACTTATTAGAACCAAAAACACTTCTCCAGTCCCAAATATATTAAATAGAGGAGCTCTGCTCTACTTTTGGGGAGAATTGTGATGAATAGGATATAAATTCAATAGCTATTTCTCTCCTTCCAGGTTAGACCTTCATAGTTTCATTTCATCACTTTGAAATAAATTCCTAGAACATCAGATCAACCCATTACAAATAAAAATCATTTGAAATTACTATACCTTTTCTCATCTATAGTTGTGGAAATCAAGATTGTTTTGTAGTAATGTGATTATAAGATACTGTACGCCAAGGCATGACTCATTTGTACATCCTTTGTTTTATTGTAGATTAAAATCCTACAGGGTAAAACACAACTTCAAAAATTCTAGAGATGGAAAACTAAGAAACTGTTATACAAACTGTCTATTTGAAACATTTCTTAAAAAATTCAAATAAGTATTTTTCAAATTTTCCTTATTTTGACAGCAGAATTTTATCCAAATAATGTATACTTATGTTAGCAACCATACCTGATGACAAGTTTGTCACTATATGTTTGTTATTTTTAGGCTTCAAATAAAAAGATACCCCTACAAATATATTAGGTCATAATTTATACCTTGTCTTTAGTTGTCTTTCAAAAAGACAGTGAAAAGAAAAATAATAAAAAAGATAATGTAGTTATCTTTTCATCTTACAAATTGTTGTTTTCCACTTTTTGTTACGCTTTTAATAGAAATCCTTTGTTCTTTTACCAGATTGATTTACCTTTGAGTTCCTTTTCTTTAAAAGCTCTGCTTCTTAGGAAAAAGGAAAGCATCCTTTAAAACAATCAGTATTTAAAAGGCAAGAAACTTACCCTCTTTACGTAATAATCCATCAGGTATGGATCGTAATCATTAACAGAGAGAGGTATGGAGGTGTTAGATAATCAAAAAACATTTAGATTTAGCTTTCATGTGGATTTTTGTGCTTAATTTTGAATGTAAATATGCTTGATATAGGATCTTACTATAAAATGAAGATTTATGTTTTTTACATTATATGAACCTAATTGAGGAGTACGCATCATTTGGTATCAATCTTGTCCCTTCTTTGTATCCATTCTATATGAATTATAATTTTCTAAAAAATTCGTAGTTTCAGCTGAGGTAGAACTGCTTTTTGTTCATATCTTCTCTGGAGCTGGCATTGAAGTTATTTCAGAGGGTCTCTAACGTATTTCAAGCTACACAGAAAACGCAAAGAAATGAAGGTAACACTTAGGTACCAGTTATTTATTTAAAGCTCTAAGTAGACAAATTTGAAAGTGAGGTTTCATATGGCTCTTTGCAAATCTATAGCTCATTAATAATTGATTCTGACCATTCTCAGCTGGCTTTTAACCATGTCAGCTTATATATTTAGATGTGGAATGGAGTGAATGTTCATATAATCTTTGATACTAAGGCCATTTATTCACTTACTTATGTCTGTTTTTCAGTCCTAGTTGTGACATGATGGAACTAAGGCGCCGTTATCAGAATTTATATATACCTAGTGACTTTTTTGATGCTCAGTTTACATGGGTGGATGCTTTCCCTTTGTCAAGACCATTTCAGCTGGGAAATTACTGCAATTTCTATGTAATGCACAGAGAAGTAGAGTCCTTAGAAAAAAATATGGCTATTCTTGATCCACCAGATGCTGACCATTTATACAGTGCAAAGGTTTGTATTCTGTGATATATAGCTAAAATTTCTGAGCAGTTACTCATATTAAGAGTGTATGTGGAATTAATCTCCTGGAAGTGGTTATGTTTAAGACCTGAATAGCTATTTTTTTTTTCCTTGTCTGCCTGATTCTGTTTTGGTTATTTAAGTAATTTAATTTAACCTCTTTGTCTTATCTCTTAAGCTGTAAAATTCATGGTTATTGTTTTAACATTTTGAAACTCATAAACGTGAAGATGAAGTTGATTTTATTGAATAGCTTTTTGGAATGTTCTGTGACTTCTGGTAGCCTCAGATAAAACGTAATGTTGGTGAATTCCCTATATGTTAGCCTTCAGGGTAACATTCAATATATTGCTTATGGTCGGTAGTTTTTGGCTATTATAGAACATTGATCAAAAAGCATTTCTTGACAAGTTAAAATTCTATCATTATAAAGTATCTAATACCATTTCTGCTGTAGCATTTTACTTTCCATTTTTATAAAAAAATTTTGGATATCTAATATGTAAGGATAATTAGTAGTGCTTCTCATTTTTTTACATTACTTTAGACTTTTGACAGGATTGAATTATTTGACTATAATAGGTAATGCTGATGGCTAGTCCTAGTATGGAAGATTTGTATCATAAGTCATGTGCTCTTGCTGAAGACCCACAAGAACTTCGAGATGGATTTCAACATCCTGCTAGACTTGTTAAGGTAAAATGAAACACTTATTTTAACTTCAGGTATATATTTGCTTTGCTTAGTTCTAACTCTGTGTGTGTGTGTGTGTCTACATATGTATATAAAATACATATATATATAATATATAAAATTAAAAATACTACATTTTTAACTTATTAACAACTAATTTTTGTATTGTTAAGGCACTCAAAATTTAATGATGAAGATTTTCTTTCAGTGAAGATTATGGCTATATCTTATTTGTATGTCACTAGTTCAGCTGTCATTTTGGTATTTTATGCTCGTAGGATAGTAAAATTTTAGTCGTATTGGATTTAGTATATTTTTGGATTCTTTTAAAGTGTGAATTATAGCTTGTTTCTTTAAAAAAATTCTTTATCTGAAGAAATATTTTAGAAGGATGAGTTATGATGTGTAAATCCTATTCCATTGCTGAAATGCAGTGTGGAACACGATGAACTGAACTCTTCCTTGACTGACAGATACCAGAGGTAGTAAAAATGATATTGGAAAGGTTTGTCCCTTTCCTTTTCAAGTATTTTATTTGTAATTTGACAAGTTGCATAACACATGTAAATGATTCTTTGTTTTGAATTAGTTTTTAGTGGGCATGAAAGGCAAGGATGAAGCCATGGCCATTGGAGGTCACTGGTCTCCTTCGTTGGATGGACCAGACCCAGAAAAAGACCCCTCTGTGTTGATTAAGACTGCTATTCGTTGTTGTAAGGCTCTGACAGGCATTGATCTAAGTGTATGCACGCAATGGTAAGTACCAATTCATTTCTTGATTAGAAATGTTTTTTCATAGTTTATATAGATGTTCTTATCTGTCAGCCTCCCCTCCCCCCTTATTTTAGCAACCTTGATCATGCAGGTAATCTCAAAGGAAAATCCCCATTTGTAGCAAAAGTTTATTTGGTGCCAAAAATGTTTGGGGGAAAAAGGATTTAAGAACTAATCAAAATAAACTGAACATTACTTAAATGTTTTGTTATGCTTTACTTCGGAAGTTGGATGTATGTTGAAAATATTTTTCATTTCATGCATAGCTGGAGAAGATCGTCAAGAGAGAACTTCATTTCATTATAATTCTTTTGTTATAAAATGATGTAGGTGCTGATTATTTTTGTTCAGCCATATTTTCTCTTGAGGCTTATTTGTCTTGTGTATTTTAGTGTATTTCTTGTGACTTAATTGAGAATATTCTTTTTTTAGCACATGAAATCTGAACAGCTATCCAGCTTCTTCAGGTATTCTCTAAAATATGGGTAGCTCTATAATCAAACTTGAAAATGCCTTGGGGAACATATTCTTTTAACCATAAAATATTGTACAAATGTACCAAAAGAGGAACTATGGCTTCTATAATTTTTTTTTCTTTAGACCAACCTCAAGTTCTTGCAGCAAAATTTCTTTACTTGATGTGCTACAAGTGAACTAGGGTCTTTAAAATGTATTTTAGAATTTTTTTTCCAACATGCTTCTTCCCTTGCAACAGGTACCGTTTTGCAGAGATTCGCTACCATCGCCCTGAGGAGACCCACAAGGGGCGTACAGTTCCAGCTCATGTGGAGACAGTGGTTTTATTTTTCCCGGATGTTTGGCATTGCCTTCCCACCCGCTCAGAGTGGGAAACCCTCTCCCGAGGATACAAGCAGCAGCTGGTCGAGAAGCTTCAGGGTGAACGCAAGGAGGCTGATGGAGAACAGGCACTGAACGCTAATCCCTTTTTCTATTTCCGCTTCTCACAGGCACAGGAACACAGGCACAAATGCACACCACACACTACATAACAAACACACATGGAGGAACATAACTGGTAACAGTGACTGGTAATCCAGCTTTCAGCAGTATAGTTGTATTTTCTTTTCTTTAAAAAAAAAATCTGTCTAGTATGCTAACTTTAAGAGTGCTGAGACCTCAAAGGAAAATAAGTTGTGCTTAAATTGCACAGAATTTTGTTTTTATCATAGGTCTAGTTGCTGGAATCTGGGACCAGTTGTTGAGCAAGATTCAGTATTAAGCCATTTTAAACATTTTGCCATTTTCTAAAATGTAAAAAATTTTCTCTTTCACGGTCATCAGTTCTAGTCATGGATATTTGAAATTGGACAACCACAAGTCTGAGAGATTTGACATTTCAGGCTATGTGGCATCGTCTTTGGTACATTTGAAAGGTCTGACTAAATCAGTCTTAACTTTGGGTGGCTTGAAAATTGGGGCAAGATCACACACTGTGTGGTTAGTGGAGACCGGCAGTGTTTGTGCATCCCTGATATCCTTTGTGTTGTAATTTATCACCCTTTTGTGTTTCACAGATCTGGCTTTGATTGGCTGATGAGTGTCTTTGTGATCAGTTAAAAGTGGTAGAATGTATGTACGTGGACTTGCCTAAATAATAACTTTAGGAGAAGACAATCTGAAACATTTGTGACCTTGCACAGATCAGCAACAGACTTTTAAAAATAAATTACTTTTATTTTAAGGTTTCAGAATAGTAATTATGTTCTTAACTTTGTATATCAGGATGAAGAAGAGAAAGATGATGGTGAAGCTAAAGAAATTTCTACTCCAACCCATTGGTCTAAACTTGATCCAAAGACAATGAAGGTAACTTTGAAATTTGAAATCTCTGACAAGAATAGAGAATGAGATCCGTGTTTTATCATAAAAAACCACTAAAAATAAAGTCAACTGAATACATATTCTGTATTTATACCTGTGTGTATAATTATTAAATAAAGGTTGACTTTATAAATCAGTGCAGCCTATATCTGTCGAGTGTAATATACAAGTGCATGTAGTATGAGTAGCATCATTTTTTGATTGGGGAACTGAGCAAGAAGGCAGAATTTCTGCACTTAAGTAATTTAAATTCAAGGAAAAGGGAAGAAACAGGAAAAAGATTATCAAGATTACTTTAGTTTTTGAAATAATATTTAAAAAGTAGGTTGATACACATCTGAACTGGGAAAGAATAATTTAAAAGCCTCTTTTGAAAATCATTGGTTAAGCTGTACTAGTTTTTCTTTGGTCCCCAATGTCTTTGGACTGATTATCATTCTATACTTTTTCGTTTCTGGGCTTATAATGTGAATGTAGATCCATAGAATTCTACGTGTGTACATTCTACATAGATCAGAAGATCACTAGCTTTTGCAGCCTGTTACTTTTAACACATAAAAGCTGACCTTTTGGTTAACTTTTGTCAGCAAAAAACCCATTTTCTTCCTTCTTATGAAACTGTAGTTTTTTAACCCACATTGCTTTTTTTTTTAGTAAGTAGAGAATGTATATCATAAGAAGATTAAGCCTGCATCCCAGGACTTTTTATCAAACCTGATGGCTTTGCCATTAAGTTTCTTATTTTAAAACTTGTATTTCTTTTGGTTATAAATACAATGTGTGCTTATTTTAAAAACTGGTACATACATAGAAAAATAGAAGATAAAAGTTACTCAAGTCTATAACTCAAACACAGCCACTGTTAAAATTTTCATGTATTTTTTCCATTATTTTTTCTGTGTACAAGCTTTATGATTGGTTGGTTGGTTGGTTCTGATCGTCTATAAAACATTGGCAGTCTCATCCTTTTCAATTAATATTGGTGTTTCCCATGTAATTCTTTTTAAATGTTCTGTATTCCTCTCATCCAGTTGATGTGGTATTATTATCTTTTGTTGGATATTTAGATTCTTCACATTTTTGAGGAAGGAACTGTTACAAGAAATATGTAAAAGTTTTGTTTTGTTTTCCAGTGTGTTTAGAATATTTCTTTAGGGTGAACTGCCGTAAATTAGAATTTCTGTGTCAAAGAGCATTAATGGTTTTTAAAGCATCTTAAAACATGTTACAGATTATTTTCCAAAAATATTCTATCAGTTGCATTTTCACAAACATGTTCTGAGCTGTACAAGTGTATTTTTCACCAACATTTTAAAAAACCAGATGAAAGATAATTGCATAGTTTGTTCCCTATTTCAATATCCCATTTTCTTTTTCTGTGTTTTTATGCTCTGTATATTTAGGTAAATGATCTCCGAAAAGAATTGGAAAGTCGAGCTCTTAGTTCTAAAGGATTAAAATCCCAGTTAATAGCCCGGTTGACAAAACAGCTTAAAGTAGAAGAGCAAAAAGAAGAACAAAAAGAATTAGAGAAATCAGAAAAAGAAGAGGAAGAGGAGGATGATAGGAAATCTGAAGATGATAAAGAGGTATATACTATTAAATATAATACTGGTTTAGAGAGAGTTCTTGAAATATGTTTGTGTATACTTTTATTAAGATAAAACTATAGGGGCCCCTTCCCCCTGCTTGCTCACTCTCTCTCTCTAAAATAAATCTTTTTTTTTTTAAGATATAACTACATAACTCTTTAAGATTCAACCAGTTTTGCAAGTTTGACAAATGCATATAGTTGTGCAACCACCACCACAATTAAGATATAAAACAGGTCTGCCACCCCCTAAAAATCCTCTGTATCCCTCTGTAAGCATTTTCCTCTCTCCATGTGTACCTTCTGCCTCCCAGACCAGCCTCTGGGAGCCACTGACCTGTTTCCTGTAGTTTTGCCAATTCCAGTATATCATGTAAATGGAACCATACAACCTGTTGAGTCTGACCTCTTCAACTCAGCATAATGCATTAGAGATTCACCCATTTTGTTGTATATATCACTAATTTTTTCCTTTTTTTTTTTTTTTTTAAGCTTTTAGAGAGGGTGGGGAGGGGCAGTAATGGGCGAGGGGTAAAGGGAGAGAGAATTCCAATCAGACTCCGTGCTGAGCTCAGAGCCTGTCTTAGGGCCCCTATCCCATGACCCTGAGACTATGACCTGAGGAGAAATCAAGAGTTGGATGCCCAGTCGACTGAGCCAGCCAGGTGCCCACTAATTTGTTCCTTTTTATTCCTTAATAACATTCCATAGTATCAATGTATCAATTTATTAGTTTTCCATTTGAGAGACACTTGAGTTGTTTCCAAGTCATGTATTTTTAATCTTCCCCTTTAAAAATGAATAATTATTCATGTGTTTGGGGTGCCTGGCTGGCTCAGTCATTAGAGCATGTGACTCTTGATCTTGGGGTCATGGGTTCAAGCCCAACATTGGGCATAGAGTTTACTTAAAAAAATTACTCCTCTATCTTAGATATAGAAAATGAGATAAAATTTGATTGACCGAACCATTAAGTTCAGAGATTGAGTTCTAGTGAAGTGCTTATTCCAGAATTTTGCTGCTTCTACAGCTATGTGTTTGATTGCACTTCAGTCCTTAAGACTCTGAGACTATAGACTTATGCCCTTAAAATAATTCCTGCTTGCATAAGCCTGTCATTTGTTTTCTGAATTTGAAATACAGGAATATAAGAAGCATGTTAGAATACCAGTAATTGGAGAAACCAACATTATGTGTTTCCTAATGTGATGCATTGTGGAGTGTACATCATTATTTATGAAGTATTCTTGCCAAAAGTGTTTTTACCATAATCTAATTATGAGGGAACAATCAGATAAATTTAGAATGTGAGAACTTCTGCAGAGCAGCTTGTCTGAACTTTTCAAAAAAAGGTCTATATAATGAGAGACTAAAGAAGAAAAATGATAAATAGTAAAAGAGTTTAGCGAGGCGTGACAACTGAATGCGCTGAGTGTGAAACTTGACAGGTCCTGAATGGGGGGGGGGGAAGCCATAAAGAGTAGTTTGGGAATAACTGGAGATACTTGATTATGGATGTGATATTAGATAATATTGAAGCAGTGCTAAATTTCTTGGATGTGATGTTTTTGTGATCATGTAGAATTGCCTTGTTATTCCGAGGTGCATTGATTTGTGATTTCTTATTCAGTAGATTATAAATATTTACCTTGATAGTGAAATTGTCTCACTTGGCCAGTGGGAGCCCTATCGAGTTGGCTTCTATGTCTTTTTTTTTTTTTTTTTTAAGATTTTATTTATTTATTTGACAGAGAGAGACACAGCGAAAGAGGGAACACAGTAGGGGGAATGGGAGAGGGAGAAGCAGGCTTCCCGCGGAGCAGGGAGCCCGATGCGGGGCTCAATCCCAGGACCCTGGGATCATGACCTGAGCCGAAGGCAGACGCTTAACAACTGAGCCACCCAGGCACCCGGCTTCTATGTCTTTTGACACGTTCTCATCATATTTTGAGGACTTATTTTGCAGCACAAAACAATGTTGCAGTTTCACTGTGTACTATCCCTGCCCTGGTTCTGGAATCAGCCATTTTCCCAGGAAGCCCTGATACTTTTTAGTGAAGAATGGTAATGATATTTAGAAGCCAAGACATATTCATTGGTATCATTGTGCTGCTGTCAACCCCTGTCAGTTAACCGTTTTGGTAGATACATACTCGTTTATACTTATGTTTATCTATGTATATACGTATTTGCATCTGTATTTGTTAGTATATATTGTGTGTATTGAATGTCGTAAGTTTATGCTAGTATCTCCAATTCTATTCCCAACATCAGAGTTCATTTCAGTTTCTCCCTTTCCATAAAGTTAATTCTTTTGTCCAATAATGAGAAACAGCTTCTGTTGTACTTAATAATTATATACTTACTTGCTCAGTTGTCTGTCGCATTCCCTTTCCCATCTGGATACCCTCTTTACTTTGGTCTGATTTCCTGCCCTGTATTCTGTCTTTGTATGGATGCCCTCCTTACTCTATTTGGGTTTTAATACCTGGTAACTGGGCAGCTCATCTGCTCTGGGCATTGTAGCTCTACCTCTCTGTCAGCCTCCATCCCCTGTGTAGACACTTGCTTTGCATGGAGGAATTGCTTTAGAATTGAATTGTTATGGACAGAAGGAGTAGATAGAGAAGGCAAAGAAGAGCTGGTTTTCACTTTTTGATGTTAACAGCCAGTGGGGTTGAAAACTGGTGATAATTCTTACCATTTTGTTTTCACATATTTTCCTCTTCGGCTATTTGATTACGTAGTGGTATAGTTTTATCTATTTGTAAATTCATATAGACGAAGGCAGGATCAGTGCTTGATTTCTTTTCATTTTTTAAAAATATAGAATGCGGGGCACCTGGGTGGCTTAGTCGTTAAGCGTCTGCCTTCGGCTCAGGTCATGATCTCCAGGGTTCTGGGATCAAGCTCCACATCGGGCTCCCTGTTCCGTGAGAAGCCTGCTTCTCCCTCTCCTACTCCCCCCTGGTTGTGTTCCCTCTCTCGCTGTGTCTCTCTTTCAGATAAATAAATAAAATATAGAGTGCTTCTTAAATATGAGTCATCCTTGTGCAAGGCCCATGCTAATCTTCTCCATATTGGTCTAATTTTCTTACATGTGCTGCTGAAGCAAGCACTGTTTTCCTTTATTTTATCCAGTTTTCAAGATACTGAATTGGTTCCCTATCATCTTCTGATGGTTACCTGTTTGGTTTTTGTGTGTTTAAAGATATTTATTTATTTATTTATTTATTTGACAGAGAGAGACACAGCGAGAGAGGGAACACAAGCAGGGGGAGTGGGAGTGGGAGAGGGAGAAGCAGACTCCCCACTGAACAGGGAGCCCGATGGGGGGCTTAATCCCAGGACCCTGAGACCATGACCTGAGCCGAAGGCAGACGCTTAACGACTGAGCCACCGAGGCACCCCTCCCTACCTGTTTGTTTTTAAACATTATTGTTGGGGTGCCTGGGTGGCTCAGTTGGGTGAGTTTCTTCCTTTAGCTCAGGTCATAATCCCAAGGTTTTAGGATTGAGCCCTGCATCGGTTTCCTTGCTCAGCGAGGAGCCTGCTTCTCTTTTTCCCTCCGCCCCTCCCCCTGCTTGTGCTTTCTTTCTGAAATAAATAAAATCTTTAAAAAAAAATAAACATCATTATGAATTTATAGATTTATTTTTTTAAGATTTTTTTATTAGCACAAACAGGGAGAGTGGCAGGGGGAGAAGGAGAAGCAGACTCCCCACTGAGCAGGGACCCTGATGTAGGTCTTTGATCCCAAAACCCTGGGATCATGAGCTGAGCTAAAGGCAAGATGCTCAACCGACTGAGCCACCCAGGCTCCCTGAATTTGTAGATTTAAACACATTTTATGGGTTTCAGTTCGTTGTAATTCTTATCCTTATTGAAGCTCAAATTGTCTTTTTTTGTCCAGTGAGTAGAATATATATATAGATATACAACACTAATGTAGAACAAATAGCATACCACTAATGTTGTTGCTGAAATTTGTTTAAAATTATTATTTTTTTTTAATTATTTGAGAGAGAGTGAGTACAAGTGGGCAGAGGGTCAGAGGAAGAGGGAGAAACAACTCACTGCTGAGCAGGGAGCCCGGTGAGGGACTCGATCCCAGGACTCTGGTATCGTGACCTGAGCCGAAGGCAGACACTTAACTGACTGAGCCACCCAGGCGCCCCTATTTTTGCATTTCCTATTGTCATTTTCTCCCCATTGTTTTTATGTTGTACTATAAGTACATCATCCTAACGTGTAGCATTACATATCGTACTCTTTTAATTCTCATTTAGTCTTTGTCCTACAATTACCGTATCTAATGCTCACCAATAGTCCTTTTGTCAGTGTCTCTGAAGCTCATTTCTAGGAGATTCCTCAGAGCTCATGTATGTTCGTAACAGTTTGACTATACTCTACTTAAAAGTCAGTTTTGCCACTTTTTGCCTGCCAATACTTGGTGTAAAAAAGAATCCTTCATCCCCACTATATACAACTTTGGGTGTTATTACCAAAGGCACTATATTGAGGTGAATGTGAGTGAGTTGGGCCTTGTGACACAAGGAGGCAAAGTTATTTGGGGCAAATATGCCCAGGTTACCAACAACCCTGAAAATGATGGATGCATAAATGCAGTCTTGCTGGTTTGACAGCAGTTTCAGAGAAGTAATTCCTTACAATTACTGAAGAGTACACACCAATCAGGAGGACCACCATTACTGTGGTGGTTCTGAATACTACCAAACAGCCTTATGTATCTGCAGTCATCAGGAGAAGTATTTATTCTATTGTGAAAAACATTAAAATAGACATTTATTAAAATAAAAAAAAAGTCAGTTTTGCTAAATATAAAGTCTTTGATTCACATTTTTATTTCTTTAAATCTTAAATATATGCTACTCTTTTTTCTTTTTAAGATATTTATTTATTTATTTATTTATTTTAGAGAGAGCAAAATGAGCAGTGGGGGAGAGCTGGGGAGGGGGAAAGGGAAGGGAACCTCAAGTACACTCTGTGCTGAGCCTGGAGCATGATGTGGGGCTCAATCTCACGATCCTGAAGATCATGATCTGAGTCAAAACCAGGAGATGGACACTTAACTGGGTGAGCCACCCAGGCGTCCCTATGTTACTGTTTTTTTGTTTTTTGTTTTTTTTATGTTACTGTTTTTTTGTTTGTTTTAAGATTTTTATTTATTATTTGACAGAGACAGTGAGGGAACTATACTAGATACCTAATGAAGTGGAATCATACAGTATCTGCTCTTTTGTGTCTGGCTTCTCTCACTTAGCATAATGTTTTCAGAGTTCATCCATGTCATAGCATGGATCAGAACTTCATTTCTTTCTTTTTTGTTAAGATTTTATTTATTTGACAGAGACAGCGAGAGAGGGAACACAAGCAGGGGGAGTGGGAGAGGGAGAAGCAGGCTCCCCACTGAGCAGGGAGCCCGATGCGGGACTTGATCCCAGGACCCTGGGATCATGACCTGAGCCGAAGGCAGACGCTTAACGACTGAGCCACCCAGACGCCCCAGAACTTCATTTCTTTATAAGGCTGAATAATATTCCATTGCATGTATATACTGCATTTTGTTTATCCCTTCATCTGTTAATGGACATTTGAGTTGTTTTCACCTTTTGGTATTGTGAATAAAACTGCTATCTACAAGCATGTTTTCAGGGCGCCTGGGTGGCTCTTGTATTCTATCACCTCATTTTCAGTTTTAAAATTCTTACTGTATTGTCCTGGGGCTCCTGGGTGGTTCAGTCATTTAAGTGTCTGCCTTCAGCTCAGATCACGAACCTGGAGTCCTGGGAATGAGCCCCGCATCGGACTCTGCTCAGCGGAGACCCTGCTTCTCCCTTTGCCCCTCACCCCGCTCGTGCTCTCTCTCTCTCAAGTAAATAAAATCCGTTTTATTTTATTTATTTTATTTTTTAATTTTTTTTTTAAAAGATTTTATTTATTTATTTGACAGAGAGAGAATGAGAGACAGAGAGCATGAGAGGGAGGAGGGTCAGAGGGAGAAGCAGACTCCCTGCTGAGCAGGGAGCCCGATGCGGGACTCGATCCTGGGACTCCAGGATCATGACCTGAGCCGAAGGCAGTCGCTTAACCAACTGAGCCACCCAGGCGCCCAATAAAATCTTTTTTAAAAAAAATAAAATTCTTATTTCTATTGTCCTTTCATATCTTGTAAGATTTTCTTAATCTCTTAGTACGCTTTAAAATAGTTAAGATTTTTATCTGTCTATGCCTGTTTTTCTGGCCCACTTTCATTGTCTGTAGGGATGTAATTCTCCTTGTTCTCTTTTAAATAGTAACTTTCTATAGGACTTGACCTCAATACCTTCTTTTGCTCATTTTTATGTGAATTTAGTTTGCCTAACATTTTATTAGAAGAGGTTGCTTAAGGGGTGCCTGGGTGGGTCAGTCAGGTAAGTGACCGACTCTTGGTTTTGTCTCAGGTCATGTGATCTTAGGGTCATGAGATTGAGCCCCATGTTGGGCTCCGTGCTCAGTGGGGAGCCTGCGCATGCACGGCTCTCTCTCTCTCTCTCAAATAAATCTTTAATAAAGATAGCTTTTTCCTGACTTCATAAAGATTTATATATTATGTTGTTTTCTTACTCTGTTTAAAACTGTGGTGGTTTGTGGGTGCCTGGGAGGCTCAGTTAAGTGTCAGCCTTTGGCTCAGGTCATGATCCCAGGGTCCTGGGATCGAGTCTCACATTGGGCTCCCTGCTCAGTCAGGAGTGTGCTTCTTCCTCTGCGCCCTCCTCTGTTCGTGTCCTCTCCCTCTCTCTCTCACAAAAATAAATAAAATCTTAAAAAAAACACAACTATGGTTATTTGCTTTCTAAGATTTTGATCTCTGTTGCCCTTCCATCACTGTTTATTGGGTTGGGACCTTTTCCTCCCATGTCTGTGTTGTTGCTATTGATTCTGCTTTCAGAAATTTCTTCACAGGGTGAGAGACCCTGTGCTAGAAAGATGCCCTGGTAAATCAGCTTTGCAAGTTCGTAGGACTAGAATATTCTAGGCCCTTTTAGATCTTAACACAGGCTCCTTGTACTCACTATTGTTGGGAGTAAAACGTTGCCTAGTTTCAGCTGCTGTTATGAAATTGAACTCACTTTCCAGTGAACGCCTTTTGACTCTTGGTTTTCCTGTTCTTAGAGCCATCAGACAACTCCATTGTTTCCTTCTGCTTTCCCTCTGCTCGGATGCCAGTAACATATAGGTCTTCTGGCTCTTGTGGCTTTTTCCCACTCATTTGTGTATTGGGGTTTTTGGGAATACCTTTTCACCTTGTTTTGTTCTGAATGTACATGAATGTTGGATGTTGGTTTTGGGATCTAGATTATTCCCCCTCTTTTTTTTTTTAAGATTCTTTTTTTAATTTTTTATTTATATGACAGAGAGAGACAGCCAGAGAGGGAACACAAGCAGGGGGAGCAGGGGAGGGAGAAGCAGGCTTCCCGCAGAGCGGGGAGCCTGATGCGGGGCTTGATCCCAGAACCCTGGGATCATGACCTGAGCGGAAGGCAGATGCTTAATGACCGAGCCACCCAGGCGCCCCTAGATTATTCCCTTTTTATATGGGGATTCTGGAAGATCCAGAAACTATGCTACTGTCAACTATTTTCCAGAATCCCTGGTTTATATAATGTTAACATAGGTATTTTTTTTTTCTCTTTAGAAGTTAGTTTCTTGTGCTGGGAAACTCAAAAGAGAAAAGTAGGAGCCATGGAAGCTGCTGTCTTCTTTACTAAATTTGAACTTTCTTCCCAGCCCTTATGATTGGCATAATCACCATAAGGAGTCATGGGAATTTTGCCCTTTTTCTTTACATGGTGTGCATTTGATACATACATACATATTGTACATGGAGGTTTAACCATTACTTAAAATTTCAAATATGTAGGAAGAAGAAAGAAAACGTCAAGAGGAAATGGAACGCCAGCGTCGGGAAAGAAGATACATTTTGCCTGATGAACCAGCCATCATTGTACATCCAAACTGGGCTGCAAAAAGTGGAAAGTTTGATTGTAGCATTATGTCTTTGAGTGTACTTTTAGACTACAGATTAGAGGATAATAAAGAACATTCATTTGAGGTAATATTTTAAGTTTGAATTGGGATCTAAATAAGGTATACACATTTTGATTGGTTAATATATTTCTTAAATCTCTTTGATGGCCTTTTTCATGGATTCTGTTTTTTTGTTTTTGTTTTTTTCTTTCAATTTATTTTGGGGGGGTTGAACACCAGCTGATTTTTCCTACAGGATTCACTTTTGGTGATTGCATTCCTATAGTATCATTTAAATGTTCCTCTGGCCTCTGTATTTCCTGTAAATTGATAGTTGGTTCTAAAGTCTTAATCAGGTTCTGATTTAATTATTATTTTTTAAAAAAATACTTCATAAGTAGTGGTATGTTTATCAGAATATCAGGAGACATATAATACATAATGTCTAATTACCTCTTGGGAATGAGGTAATGCTATATTGTTTAGAATTAAAATAGCATTCAGTGGGATTTAAAATTATACTTGTGACTGACGGAAGTGTAAGATAAAAGATGTTTATTTTTCAACATGAATCTATCTCTTACCATTACTATAGGGCAGATTTACAACATACAATTTATTTTTCAAAATAATTGAAGATTTTTATCCCTTAAGAAATGATTGCTTCATTCGTTAAATAAAATCAATTAAAATATTCCAAAATACTAATTTCATAAGCTTATGAAAAATTACAATATTTTTCAATTATTGTATCTTACCAACACATTTCACATTCTTGTTTGTATGTTTTGTTTTATAAATGATGTTGGAAAAGTCCGTCAGACTTACTTGACCCAAAAGGTCATTGTCCACAAGATGAAAATGAAATACTTAGACTAGAGACATTTACAAACAAATATAGAGGCTTACTGAGGCAATTATAAAACACGATGTGCATGCTTATTGGTCCTGATAAAAGACAGGTTGCAAATATTAAAATAATTATAATTTTTAGTACATTAATAATTCCAGTAAGCCTGTGTTTTTAAATATTATATACTAGATGACTTTATTTTTATTACCAGTTACTTAATATAATTCTTAATAGTGCCTACCATCTAGTAGTAATTTGAATAAATAAATGAAAAAAATTAGTGTTTGGTATTACTGCTTATATAGTATATACCATGTATCTGACTGAGCCGTAGGAGGATCTCAAACTAATGCTACTCCAGTGGAAACAAAGCAATTTGTGAAACAGCCATTTGCTAGCAAAATGATCCCTTACCTTTTTCCTCCCCACCGAACATACCTCCTGGGTTAATTTCCTTTTAATCTATTTAGAATGCAAATGTCATTTTGGTACATGAATTTTTTTTTTTTTTTTAAGATTTATTTATTTTAGGGAGAGAATGAGAGCACAAGTGGGAGGGGCAGAGAGAGAGAGAGAGAGAGAGGGAGAGAGAATCTAAAGCAGACTCTGCACTGAGCGCAGAGTCCAGTGCAGAGCTTGATCTCAAGACCCTGAGATGATGACCTCAGCCGAAATCAAGAGTCGGATGCTTAACTGACTCAGCCACCCAGGCACCACCCCTTGTTACATGAATTTTTTTTTTTTTTTTTAGTTTTATTTATTTATTTGACAGAGAGAGACATAGCGAGACATGGAACACAAGCAAGGGGAGTGGGAGAGGGAGAAGCAGGCTCCCCGCCAAGCAGGGAGCCCGATGCGGGGCTCGACCCTAGGACCATAACCTGAGCCGAAGGCAGACATTTTAACGACTGAGCCACCCAGGCGCCCCCAATTTTTAAAAAATATTCTGTAATTAAGAAAAACCATTTATCATAAAATTATAAATCTTTGGTTGATTTAATATTAATGCTAGATTTGTCTCAATGCTTTTACATGAAAAGATTTAAAAATTAATTCTGCTCTTCTGGGTTGTGCCTCGCTGCCTCCATGGAAGAGTATGAAACTCTTGATCTCAGGGTTTTGGATTCGAGCCCCACATTTGGTGTGGAAATTACTTAAATAAATAAATAAACTTAAAAAAAAATAATTCTGGGGACACCTGGGTCCCTTGGTTAAGCGTCTGCCTTTGGCTCAGGTCATGATCCCAGGGTCCTGGGATCTCCCTGCTCAGTGGGGAGTCTGCTTCTCCCTCTGCCTGCTGCTTCCCCTGCCCATGCGCGCTCTCTCTCTCTTCCTCTGCAAATAAATAATTCTTTAAAAAAAATTAATTCTGCTATTCTAGTTACTGTTCTGGGCTTCTTCTAATTTAACCCATTTAACTTACTGCTTTTTATTTCTAGGTAATGAAAAAGAGAAGACTCTTAGGAAAAGATAATGCCTCTTGTATTTATGCAAATGGAAATCTTATTTAGTTTCACAAATGGTTAAGAGGGGAGTTTTCAATATCTCTCTTTTTTTAAGAGAGAGGGTCAGAGAGAATCTTTTTTTTTTTTTTTTTTTAAAGATTTTATTTATTTATTTGAGACAGAGAGAATGAGAGACAGAGAGCATGAGAGGGAGGAGGGTCAGAGGGAGAAGCAGACTCCCTGCCGAGCGGGAGCCCGATGCGGGACTCGATCCCAGGACTCCAGGATCATGACCTGAGCCGAAGGCAGTCGCCCAACCAACTGAGCCACCCAGGCGCCCGGTCAGAGAGAATCTTAAGCAGGCTCTCTATGCCTAGTGCAGACTCTTGGGGCTCAATCTCACAACCCTGAGATCATGACCTGAGTCGAAATCAAGAGTCAGATACTTAACTGACTGAGCCACTCAGGCACTGTGAGTTTTCAACATCTGGATGGTCATTTTACTGGTAATAAATTTCTGTTTTAAAATGTGTAAAGACTGGGCATGAGTTAAAGAAAAATAGATTATAAATTCAATTTTAATTTTAATATATTATCCTTTATGATCAGGAAAATAGTCTGATTAAAGTGTTTTATCAAATATACTATGAACTCCTTGCCAGAGTTTATACATTTTAGAGTTGTGTTCAACCATTTCAAGTTCTGGACCCTTTTAATCTGTTGGAAACCATTAGCCTTAGAATTTTTTTTTAGAATGTTAGTTTTTAAATTTTTTTAACATTTTATTTATTTATTTGAGAGAGTGTGAGTGGAAGGAAGGGCAGAGGGAGAGGGAAAAATCTCAAGCACTGAGTGCAGAGCGCGATACAGTGCTTGAGATCATGACCTGAGCTGAAATCAAGAGTCAGACGCTTAACCAACTTAGCCACCCAGGCGCCCCAAGATTTTATTTTTAAGTAATTTCTACACCTGATGTGGGGCTCAGACTCACAACCCTGAGAGCAAGAGTCACATGCTCTAGTGACTGAGCCAGCCAGACACCCCATACTTAGAAATATTTATGTAGAAAATTTAGTGTGTAATTTTAGGTTCTGGAGTATGTGATTATCCATGGATATTTGCATAGTAATAAAACTATCTATGGATATTTGCATAGTAATAATGTATGCTCCTACTCACAATTCTGAGTTGGTGTCCCCTGCCTGAAATGCTTTTCTAGGGATCTATCTGGCCCCATTCACTTGTCACCTTCAGGTCACTTCTGATGTCACCTAATCAAAGAGATCTTCTCTGACTACACTGTACTTTCTTGTTAACTCTGTGTGTTTATCCTCCCTTTTTTTTTTTTTCCCTTAAAATTTGATGCTCTGGTTACCTTTTACTTTTCCCCATTAGATTATTAGCAAATTAGAGTTAGGATTTTTATCTGCTTCCTTCACTTCTGTATCCCTAATGCCTAGAATAGTCCATGGTACGTAGTAGGTATTTCAGAAAAACTTGTTGAATAAATTAAAAAATACATTTATCATGAAGATTAATTGCTGTGTAAAATAGAAATCATTTTTTCCTACTCATTTTCAAAGTCCAAATTTCATTTCAAAATTTGTCAAATTTTGTATTATTTTTTCTAAAATTTGGCCAAAAGTATATTAAACGTAGTGTTTATATCTTTAGGAGAGTTTTTTTGTTTTGTTTTGTTTTCATTTGAGATACAGAGAGAGCATGAGCAGGGGGAGAAGCAGAGGGAGGGGGAGAAGCAGACTCCCTGCTGAGCAGGGAGCCCGATGAGGGGCTCGATCCCGGGGCCCTAGGATCATGACCTGAGCCGAAGGCAGATGCTTAACCATCTGAGCCACCCAGCACCCCCAGGAGAGTTTTTGAGTCTTTTGAAGATCTTCAACATCATTGACATCAATTATTATTACTCTCTTGTTAGTGCATATTAATTGTTAGATGTGGCAAATCATTATTTGATAAATTATTATGCTGGGTTTATTCAATATTTCTATTAAAGGTGACTGGGTTACTGTTGGTATCTTTGTTATAGGTTTCACTGTTTGCAGAACTTTTCAATGAAATGCTTCAAAGAGATTTTGGTGTCAGAATATACAAATCATTACTATCTCTTCCTGAGAAAGAGGACAAGAAAGAAAAGGAAAAGAAAAGCAAAAAAGATGAGAGAAAAGATAAAAAAGAAGACAGAGATGAAGAAACTGATGAGCCAAAACCCAAACGGAGAAAATCAGGCGATGATAAGGATAAAAAAGAAGATAGAGATGAAAGGAAGGTCTGTAATTATTTCCATTACCAGCAACCTATTTATTTTTTATTTTTATTTTTTTTAAAGATTTTATTTATTTGACAGAGAGAGATACAGCGAGAGAGGGAACACAAGTGGGGGGAGAGGGAGAGGGAGAAGCAGGCCTCCCGCCGAGCAGGGAGCCCAATGCGGGGCTCGATCCCAGTACCCTGGTATCTGACCTGAGCCGAAGGCAGACGCTTAACGACTGAGCCACCCAGACACCCTACCAGCAACCTATTTAGAAGTTTTCCTTTTGTTTTCTAGAGTATAACAAATGATGAATTCATCAGAAGAGCAAAATGTAAAGGCTAAACTAAAAGATTTTAGTGTATTATTAGAAATGTAAGTCTTTGAATTAAGCCTATATAGACATCTAGAACTAATTTCTGGTAATTTTCTTTTTTTAAGGTATGCAGCATGACGGTATATTTACATGTATTGTGAATGGTAGTTTAATTTTAAAGTGTATTGTTAAGAAAATTTTATAATTTGATTCTATTTCAAGTAAATAATGAATTTAATGTTTTTTTGTTTCAGTCATTTAACATTTGGTCAGATATCTTGCCTAATATAACTAACTGCATTTTAAATTACAGAAAGAAGATAAAAGAAAAGAGGATTCTAAAGATGATGATGAAACTGAAGAAGATAATAATCAAGATGAATATGATCCAATGGAAGCAGAAGAAGCTGAGGATGAAGAAGATGGTATGATTCAAATGTACTTATTTCGCATTAGGATGAAAAATGCATTTTTTTTTTTTTAAAGATTTTATTTATTTATTTGACAGACAACAGCGAGAGAGGGAACACAAGCAGGGGGAGTGGGAGAGGGAGAAGCAGGCTTCCCACTGAGCAGGGAGCCCGATGTAGGGCTCCATCCCAGGACCCTGGGATCATGACCTGAGCTGAAGGCAGACGCTTAACGACTGAGCCACCCAGGTGCCCTGAAAAATACATTTTTTGTTTGATCACTTTGTATAATAGCAGTCTATAATTTTAAAATTTTTTCTTTTTCAGAATAGAAATGGTAAAATATTCTTTAGTAAAAATCTATATTGTTTTATTAATAGTTGAGAGGATATTTTTTTAGGTAGAACTTAGCGTTTTATTTAGATCTTCATTAAACTATTGGAATTGAGAACCAGACATATTTAATAAACCTCCAAAAATAGATCCTGAAAGGCACTTTCTGCTTAAGGCAAACGGTCGTAGGACGAGCATGTAAACAAGCTGGCTTCTCTGTACCCACACCCGCTACGTCAGCCTGCTCCATGGCCCCTGCATCACCTCTGCCCTCCCTTCTGTTAACACCAGCCAAACCCCCCTATGTCTAACCCAAGGGTTTTTTGTAGGACAACTTGGATTACCTGGGAATGCTGGAAACATGTTGTTAAAGGAATCATGGTGTTGAGAGGAAAAAAAAATTTTTTAAGCTGCATTCTGAGGTGATGGCTTCTCTATACTTACGCCATACTGCAGAATACAATAAATAAGCAATTAGAAGATGTTCAAATATGAAGGGATTTTGTCCTCCCCATCCAAAGTCCTGCTCTCTAAAGGAAGCTGGTTTCTCTGTAGCTACACCAGCTGTTCAGAAAGCTCATTGGACCTGGTTTTGAAAGTAAAACCATCAAAAACCCTGGGAGGAATTACTTCGCAGTGTGGAGTACTCGGTCTTTCTTTCTTTTTTTTGTTTTGTTTTGTTTTGTTTTTAGAGAGACAAAGGGCAGAGGGAGAAGCAGGCTCCCAAGGAGCAGGGAGCCCATTGCGGGACTCGATCCCAGGACCCTGGGATCATGACCTGAGCCGAAGGCAGACGCTTAACCATCTGAGCCACCCAGGCACCCTCGGTCTTTCTTATAAAGAACAAAAAAGTCAATCTGGTACCAAAGTGTGCAACCTACAGACGCTTAGGTTCTGCCCTCTGACATCTGTGTATGATAGATGAGAGGATTTTTTAAAGACGTGCTTTTTTTTTAAAGTAACCCCTACTCCCAACATGCGGATCAAACTCATGACCCTGAGATCAATAGTTGCATGCTCTACTAACTGAACCAGCCAGGCACCCCAAGACATGTTTATTTTTGATTATCATATGTTCTCTATGTAATTAATACTTACTCAACTTGAGGAATGTATTTCCCTGAACATGTTAATTTAACTATGTCATAAAGGTATAACAGTCCCTGTTGTTCCATAGTTTTCTAAGGAAGAACATACTGTGTATAGTCTTTTGCATGTTTGACAGTCTCCATAATTAAAAAAAAATACTAAAATTAGTTTGCTAAAGAAGAATGTATTTGGAACACTACATCAAAAACTAATCAAGTACTGTATGGTGATGTAACATAATTAATAAAAAAAAGAAGAATATATTCTAGGGGCGCCTGGCTGGCTCAGTTGGTGGAGTGTGCAACTTTTTTTTTTTAAGATTTTATTTATTTATTGGACAGAGAGAGGGAACACAAGCACGGGGAGTGTGAGAGGAAGAAGCAAGCTGCCCCAGAGTGTGCAACTCTTGATCTTGGGTCCTGAATTTGAGCCCTACATTGGATGTAGAGATTAAATTAAAAAAAAAAAAAAAACAACTTAAAAAAATAAATAAATAAAGGCTGGGGCGCCTGGGTGGCTCAGTCAGTTGAGTGTCTGCCTTTGGCTCAGGTCATGATCCCAGAGTCCTGGGATCAAGCCCCAGGTAGGGCTCCCTGCTCAGCGGGGAGTTTGCTTCTCCCTCTTCCACCCCACGCCCCTGGCTCGTGCTCTCTCTCAAATAAAATCTTTACCAAAAAAATTAAAAATAAAGACTAATGATAATAAACACCTGTTTATCACCCAAGTTAATAAAAGACACTTACCAATGGGAATGATATTCAAAATACTTAAGGATGCCTGGCTGGCTCAGTTGGTAGAGCATGCAGCTCTTGATTCAGGGTCAGGAGTTCAAACCCCACGTTGGGCACAGAGGTCACTTAAAAACAACGACAACAATAAATGTCCCGACGACTTATAGATGTAGGCCATAAAGTATCTCTGAAGTACCACTGAGTACTTGTCAATCTCCATAAAGATTTGAGACTTTAAAAATCTTTTTAGGGCGCCTGGGTGGCTTAGTCAGTTAAGCTTCTCCCTTTGGCTCAGGTCATGATCCTAGGGTCCTGGGATGGAGTCCCACATCGGGCTCCCTGATCAGCCCTTACCCTACTAGTTTGATGGCAGTTTCATCCTTCAGGTTGCTCACGCTAACATCTAGGAATCATCTTAAACATTTATTTTTGCCATACTCCCATTTCCAATCTATCTGGAAGTCATATTGCCTCTGTTTTAAAAACATATCCAGAAACAGACCGTATTTCACCAGCTCCACTAATCTAACCTTAATCCAAGCCATGTTGTCTCCTGCCTAGTTTATTTTAAAAACCTCCTATCTAGGGGTGCCTGGGTGGCTCAGTCAGTTGAGCATCTGCCTTCGGCTCGGGTAATGATCCCAGGGTCTTGGGATCAAGCCCCTCATCAGGTTCCCTGCTCATCAGGGAATCTGCTTTTCCCTCTTAACTCTGCCCCCGTCTTGTGCTCCATGTCTCTCTCTCTCTCAAATAAAATCTTTTAAAAAATAAAAGAATTAAAAAAAAATAAAAACCTTCTATCTGGTTTCCTTGCTTACTCCCTTCTCCTCTAAAGTCTCTTCTCAACACGATTGCCAGAACAGCCTTTGTAAAATTTAAGTCATTTCATTTATTTGTTTGATTTCTTTCATTTGTTTTCAGATTCCTTCAGTGGCTCACCATTTCACTCTGTAAAAAGCCAGTGTTTACAGTGCCCTCTAAGACTCCACGAAATCAAGCCTCTAATTTCATTTCTTACCTCTCTCTTCTACTTGCTCTTTGCACCCAAGGCATCCTGACTTTCTTGAACCCGTTATGTATGCCCCTGTATTCGGACCTTTGCATTGACAATTCCTTCTGCATGCAAACTACCGGAGATCCATCTTCCTGATTCTTTCACATTTGCGGTCTTTGTTCAACTGTCACTTTCTCAATAAAGCCTGCTCTGCACCCACCCCTATTTAAAATTGCAATCTTCCCCACCGGTACACATTCTTGATCCCTCCTTATTTTACTTTACTTACAGAACTTATAACCTATTCTGCTATACTGTTCACTTACTTTACTTATTGTCTGTCTTCCCACTTGTATACATATAAGCTCTTAATAAGGAAAAGAGGGGTTTGGGGGGCACCTAGCTGGCTCAGTCAGTAGAGCATACGACTCTGGATCTTGGGGTTGTAAGTTTGAGCCCCACGTTGGGTGTAGAAATTACTTCAAAATCTTAAAAATTTCTTTTAAATAAAATCTTAGAAAAAGAGGGGTTTTTGTCTCCTCTTTGCTGATAATATATATATTGCAAGTTCCTGGAGCAGTCTAAATATCCAAATGTCATAAACTGCAAAGCCAAACAGGGTGATAGGATTATAGTTCTTTTTTGGTTTTCCTGGTATTTTCAGTTGCTGCTTGCTTATGTTATCATAGTTTTTTCTCCCCCATACTTTATAGTTCATAATCCTATCAAGTTACTTGAAGACCACTCTTTTTCCAGTAGAAAAGTAGAATAGTGACTTTTTTAAAAAATGAAAATACAGTGCCATTTAATGTCTAAAGTGGTGTTGAATTTTCTTAGTAATCGGGAGCATATAACAAGTCTATACCAATCAATTTGATGAAGTTTTTTTTTTTTTTAAGATTTTATTTATTTGACAGAGACACAGCGAGAGAGGGAATACAAGCAGGGGGAGTGGGAAAGGGAGAAGCAGGCTTCCTGCTGAGCAGGGAGCCTTGATGCGGGGCTTGATCCCAGGGCCCTGGATCATGACCTGAGCTGAAGGCAGATGCTTAACGACTGAGCAACCCAGGCACCCCCCCTTTTTTTTTAGATTTATATATTAAAAAAAAAAAAAAAAGATTTTATGTATTGAGAGGGGCAGGGGGAGAGAGAGTCTTAAGCAGGCTCCTGTAAGTGCGGACACTGAGAACAGGGCTTGATCCCACGACCCTTAGATCACTACCTGAGCTGAAACCAAGAGTCAGATGCTCAACTGACTGCAACACCCAGGCCCCCCTTGACGAAAAGATTTTAATAAAAGGTAACGTCAGTTTAACAATAAACAAGGGTAAGGAGAAGAGTTCTTTTATCACTCTTGCAGTCATTTTAAGTTGTTGCACTTTTTCTGGACATAAATTTGGCAATGTCAGTCAACTGTTATACTTTAAATCAACACAGGTGTTCATTCCATAATTGTCTATAAAACAAAAACGTCAGAATTGGTCTTAATGTTTTGTTTTTAAGATTTATTTATTGGGGTGCCTGGGTGGCTCCGTCGTTAAGCGTCTGCCTTCGGCTCAGGTCATGACCCCAGGGTTCTGGGATTGAGCCCCATGTCGGGCTCCCTGCTCAGCAGGAAGCCTGCTTCTCCCTTTCCCACTCCCCGTGCTTGTGTTCCCTCTCTGTCAAATAAATAAATAAAATCTTTAAAAAAAAAAAAAGATTTATTTGTTTTAGAGAGAGAGTTGGTGGGGTGGGGGCAAAGAGGGGGAGAGAAGCAGACTCCCCACAGAGTGGGGAGCATGGCTCTGTCCCACAACCCTGAGATCACGACTGAGCCAAAATCAAGAGTTGGACGCTTAACAGACTGAGCCACCCAGGCATCCCTGTATTAATGTTTAATAATAGACAATTATTTAAATATACTTTGCTATAGACATGGAGTTAAATTCTGTGCAGCCTTTGAAAAAACTGTTGGAAGATTAATGACATTGAAAAAGATGATAAAGTAGTTTTTTGGTTTTTTTTTTTAAGATTTTGTTTATTTGACAGAGAGAGAGAGCGAGAGCAGGAACACAAGCAGAGGGGGAGTGGGAGAGGGAGAAGCAGGCTTCCCGCCAAGCAGGGAGCCCGACGTGGGACTCGATCCCAGGACCCTGGGATCATGACCTGAGCCGAAGGCAGACGCCTAACAACTGAGCCACCCAGGCGCCCCTGTTTTTTTTTTTTTTTTTTAAGATTTATTTATTTGACAGACACAGCGAGAGAGGGAACACAAGCAGGGGGAATGGGAGAGGAAAAGCAGGCTTCCCGCGGAGCAGGGAGCCCGATGTGGGGCTCGATCCCAGGACCCTGGGATCATGACCTGAGCCGAAGACAAACACTTAACGACTGAGCCACCCAGGCCCCCCATAAAGTAGTATTTTATAGATAGTATGTTCCTTTAAATGTGTTTCATATGGGTAGTAGTATATGTGGGGGGAAAATAAAGGGACACGATTGCTGCTACAATCGGTATATTTTTGTGTGATGGGATTTATTTATTCGTAAAAAATCTATGTTCCAAGGGAGACAAAGTTTTGAAATTAATAGCTTTCAAGTTAAATACTCAAATAAGGTGGATCATGTCTATAAAATGTTAATAAAGGGAAGAAATTTACCCTTGTGTAGTATATCGTACACTCTTGATAAAAATTATTCGTAATTACACTTCTACTCAGAAGCTGTTGTTTTCTCTGCTTTATAGTTGAGGAAACTGAGGCTCTTAGCAATGAATTAATTTATCCACAATAATAAACCTTTAATGTCCTATAGCATATATGAGAGAAATCGGTTCCAAGGACACATTTTTTTAAGTTTATTTACATGCCAGTACATACTACAAAACTCACTACTTTTAAATGTGCACTTTAATCATTCTTAATAACTTTATGGATTTGTTAAACCATCACCACAATCCAGCTTTAGACCATTTGCCTATTTCCCTTTTACAAAAATGTCTTTGTTGAGATATAATTCACATATTGTATATCTCATCCATTTAGAAGTGTACAGTTCAGGGGACCTTGCTGGCTCAGTCAGAAGATCATGCAACTGTTGATCTTTGTATGTAGTAGGTTTGAGTCCCATGTTGGGTATAGAGATTACTTAAAATCCAAAATGAATGAATGAAATGAAATCTTAAAAAAAAAAAAATGGTTTATCCAAGTCCCATCTCTAAACATGGAATAGAATGTTAGCGTAAATAAATCTGAATATTAACACTGTTAATTAGGTTTTCTTAATTATCTTAAGAACATCTCAGTTCCTCACATACTGTTTTATTTTGCAGTAATCTATCTGCAGTTAGTTTTACTGCATTGACTAGTTTTCTTTTTAGGTTTTAGAAAACATGCCTTGCTCTGTTTTGTTTAAATTTGTGTTATAATTTCCAATTTTATATATAAAACTTACTCATTTTTTGAACTATGTCCTTCACATTTTTATGGAATTAAATTATTTGATTTAAAGTCAAATTTTTTCCTTCTTTTAGTGCCTCCATACATTTCTTCCTTTTCTTATTCTTCATAATTCTTCATTTTCTGGGGCACCTGAGTGGTTCAGTCAGTTACACACCAACTCTTGATTTCAGCTCAGGTCATGGTCTCAGAGGGTTGTGAGATGGAACCCCACGTCGGGCTCTGCACTGCGTGGGGAGTCTGCTTGAGATTCTCCCTTTCCCTCTCCCTCTGTGCCCCCTCCTACCTTCCCTCTCTGTCTCTCCCTCTTCTCTAAGAAAAAAATAAATAAATATATATATATATTTTTTTTTAAGATTTTATTTTTAAGTAATCTCTACACCCAGCGTGGGGCTCAGAATTACAACCCCAAGATCAGGAGTCACATACTCTACTGACTGAGCCAGCCAGGCACCCCAGTCCAATCCATTTTTATTCATACAGTATTTCTTTTCATTGTGTCTTTTGAAAACTTATTAGTAACAGAAAACTATTTTTGATCTCTACAGTAGTAGAAAATATCTGTATTAATGAGTATTTTGTTGCTGTTGTATTGATTTTATAGATCGGGATGAGGAAGAAATAAACAAACGAGAAGACAAAAGAGATATCAACAGGTACTGCAAGGAGAGGCCCTCTAAAGATAAGGTATTTATTGAATATTCTTTATAACATAATAAGTTCCATTTCTCACATAATCCAGACTTATTAAGCATAACACTGTCATGAAGTTTATTGGTCCTTATATATCTACATATTACCGCTCAGAGCAAAATTCAGCCAGTTGTTAAATTTGTAATTATCTCAGATAACCAGTATGTCTTATTCTTTTCTCCTGTACACATAAACAAGATGAGCTCATTTTAACTTGTAACATGAGGCAAAGGTCTTTTCATATTTTTAACTCTTATATGGACATAGTCTCAATTTCTCACTTTATAGGGGTAAAGATTATGTACTATTCTGCATTTTCTTTAGGAAAAAGAAAAGACTCAGATGATCACAATTAACAGGGATCTGTTAATGGCATTTGTTTATTTTGATCAAAGCCACTGTGGTTATCTTCTTGAAAAGGATTTGGAAGAAATACTTTATACTCTTGGACTACATCTTTCTCGGGCTCAGGTAATCTGTCTTATGAATATTTAAAATGAAAAGCCATTTTAAGTAATTACCTTTTTAATCTCTGAGTTTTTGAAATATGAAAGTAATACAGGCTAATAGAGATAGTCAAGAGATATTGAAATGCGTAAAATAAAAGTTAAACGTCCCCTTAAAAGATTTTATTTATTTATTTGACAGAGAGAAAGAGAGCACAAGCAGGGGGGTAGCAGGGAGAGGGAGAGGGAGAAGCAGAAGCAGGCTCCCTGCTGAGCAGGGAGACCAATGCAGGATTCGATCCCAGGACCCTGGGATCATGACCTAAGCTGAAGACAGACGCGTAACTGACTGAGGCATCCAGGTGCTCCTACACCTTTTTTTTTTTCTCCTTAAGATTGATTTATTTATTTGAGAGAGAGAGAATGAACATGCACACTCAGGGGGTGGGGAGGGGCAGAGGGAGAGTGAGTCTCTTAAGCAGACTCCACACTGAGCATGGAGTCCCACATGGGGCTAGATCTCTGGACCCTGATTTACAACCTGAGCCGAAATCAAAGATTGGACACTTAACCAATTGTGCCATACAGGTGCCCCCCCCCCCCGCCCCCAGCTTTTTAAGTAGGTCCCAAGCCCAGTGTGGGGCTTGAACTCACAACCCTGAGATTTAGAGTCACATGCTCTACCAACTGAGTCAGCCAGTACATATACCTTAGTGTATGCTTTAGTGTTTCTTTTTTTTTTTTTTTTAAGATTTTATTTATTTATTTGAGGCAGAGAGAATGAGAGACAGAGAGCATGAGAGGGAGGAGGGTCAGAGGGAGAAGCAGACTCCCCGCCGAGCAGGGAGCCCGATGCGGGACTCGATCCCGGGACTCCAGGATCATGACCTGAGCCGAAGGCAGTCACTTAACCAACTGAGCCACCCAGGCGCCCTGCTTTAGTGTTTCTATCAGTGTTACATGTTTTTTATTAACAAAAATCTTTTCAAATGATAATTCGAATTTTAGGTTTATAGAGAAGACAGTTAAAAAATGCACAAGTTGGGGCGCTTGGGTGGCTCAGTCAGTTAAGCATCTGCCTTCAGCTCAGGTCATGATCCCAGGGTGCTGGGATTGAGCCCCGCGTCAGGCTCCTCTGCTCAGCGGGAAGTCTGCTTCTCCTCCCTCTGCCTCTTCTCCCTGCTTATACTCTCTCTCTTTCAAAGAAATAAATGAAAAAAAAAATTTTTTTTTTTTAAGATTTTACTTATTTATTTGACAGAGAGAGCCATAGCGAGAGAGGGAACACAAGCAGGGGGAGTGGGAGAGGGAGAAGCAGGCTTCCCACGGAGCAGGGAGCCTATTGTGGGGTTCGATCCCAGGACCCTGGGATCATGACCTTAGCCGAAGGCAGACGCTTAATGACTGAGCCACCCAGGCACCCCAATAAATGAAAAATCTTAAAAAAAAAAAACAAACAAACACAGATGGTGTCTTAATCAGTTAAAGCGTCCAGCTCTTGATTTCGGCTCAGGTCAAAATTTTTTAAAAACAAAAACAAAACTAAAAAACTCAAGTGTTTGAGCGGAAGAGGATACCTGACAACACAGATGCCATTGATGTTTATCATATGTGAAAATTAGAACATAGTTAAGTATAATCAAAAATGTATTCTCATGTTTTTGTTCACTTGCTTGTATGACAGGTAAAGAAGCTTCTTAATAAAGTAGTACTCCGTGAGTCTTGCTTTTACCGGAAATTAACAGACACCTCAAAAGATGAAGAAAACCATGAAGAGTCTGAAGCACTGCAGGAAGATATGCTAGGTTTGAATATATTATTTTGAGATTATGTCATTTTATAATTATTAAAGAAAAAAGTAAATAAAATATGATCTATTTTATTTTATAGGGAACCGATTGTTACTTCCAACACCAATAGTAAAACAAGAATCAAAGGATGTGGAAGAAAATGTTGGTCTTATTGTGTACAATGGTGCAATGGTAGATGTAGGAAGCCTCTTGCAAAAATTGGAAAAGAGTGAAAAAGTAAGAGCTGAAGTAGAACAGAAGCTGCAGTTGCTAGAAGAAAAAACGGGTAAGGAACAGCATTGGATATTTCAGTACTTTTAAAACCCTGCTGGAATATATATGTGTACACACATATATACATAGCTAGGTACACGTGCATATCCATACTTTGTATTTTAGTCTAGGCACATTATGCAACTCACTTTTGACCATTAAAAGCTATAAAATTGCTTAGCATTATAAGAATTTGTCTTAGATTTTCATATGCATTCTTAGATTCCTTTGTTGTTCTTCTGCACTTTTTTAATCCTCCCCTAGTTCTACTTAGTTTTTCTCAGTTTTTGCTACTTTCTCTAATCCCATACAATCATCTAAAAGTGGAACCTGGGTTTAGAAGTAATACTTAGGTAAAACTTAATTTAAATGAAGTGAGTATATTGCATCATGCTTTATAACTGACATTTGTGGACATTTTAAGGAATTATAACTGCTTTTTATTTTCCTTAATATTTCCTTAAATTTTTTTAAAAAATTTACTTATTTTTAAGAGAGAGAGAGAACATGCAAGCGGGGGAAGGGGCAGGGGTAGAGGGAGAGAATCCTCAAGGAGACTCCTGCTGATCACAGAGCCTGATGCAGGGCTCAGTCTCAGGACCCTGAGATCATGACCTGAGCCAAAATCAAGAGGCGGCCGCTTAACCTGCTGACCACCCAGGCACCCTTTCCTTACATATTTTTAACCTCATAATTAAATTGGAGATTTTAAAGGGTAAGATGGTGAATTCTGAATTTTTTTTTTTTTTTAACAGATGAAGATGAAAAAACCATATTAAATTTGGAGAATTCCAACAAAAGCCTCTCAGGTGAACTCAGAGAAGTTAAAAAGGACTTTAATCAGTTACAAGAAAACTTAAAGATTTCAGAAAACATGAATTTGCAGTTTGAAAACCAACTCAACAAGACAATCAGAAACTTATCTACAGTAATGGATGAAATCCACACTGTACTGAAGAAGGTTAGCAGTTTTATACTTTCATATTTTCAGTTTGTTTCAACTTTTAACCCTGGAAATTTTAATGTCATTTATGTCATTGTACAGTGGTGCAGTGGTAGATGTGTAGGACAAATTTTAATGTCGTAATCTCTTAGTGGGTTTTCTCAGAGCAAATATTGGGTATTCTTTCCTTCGTCAGATGAATCAAAAGCAATTTCCAAAAGATTGTATTATTCTAGAACTTAGTTGGAATGTCAACATGGTTTATGTATGTAGACTTCTTGAAACTTCTGGAAAACTTAAAAGTTTTCTTTGTATTTCTTTCAGAACTAGAGAGTGAATTGAATTTGAACTTGAGGAAAATAAAACCATTTACTTCTTTTTAAAGCCATTATTGTTGGGCAGAGTTGAGAAACTCTTTGGCACTATCAAAATCAATGTGTTAGTATTTTTTGTCACTAAAAAAATCTGTAACTCAATGCCATTATAAACTAACTAGAATAATTGAGATGTCTTCCACATCCTCATTGAGGGGTTTCTTCTGTAAGTTGCCCCCAGTGTCAATTTTTTATAGATGGCAAAGTGGGCCATCTCGAGTGTCTGTTTACTAATGTTTATTAATTTTAAAGTTAAATTGAAGAGAATCTAATTAAATATACTTTTTCCTTGTCTGTTATGTTACAGGATAATGTCAAGAATGAAGATAAAGATCAGAAATCCAAGGAGAATGGTGCAGGTGTATGATAAAATACATGTAGTGATGAGGAATGGTGTTAAATAATGTAATATATAAAATCATGATACAAGAATGTTTGAAAGTGATGCATGTTTGATTTTAGTAGTATAAATATCTGTTAGTTCAAATGATGTATAAAGTTTTATGAATGTGAAGAGTCTGCTTTTGAAAATTGCTTGTAATTCCTGGCATTCAAATTATTAAACACTCCTTGAGTGAAATAATTTTGCATTGCAAAATGTTTTAGGATGAACTTTGTTATAGTTTTAACCCCAATAAAGTTCATCAGTTTAATTGATAGTAGTATTTAATTACAAAATGTCTTTTATTAAAATACTTAGAAAAGTACAGTTTTATTTATAGAATTATCATTATTAGGTTTTTATAAATTTTTTAGTCTTTTAAAATTTCAGTATAAATCATAAAATAGCATGTTGCTTAATTTTTTGCAAGTTTTTTGAATCAGACTTTTTTACTTGTCTTAAAAAAAATCCCCTCTTATCAGTCTCTAAACTATTCATTAAAAATTCAAATCATCCAAAAGACAGTACATCAAAAACTAAGAAAGTAATAGACAATTACCATTGTTACTATATATGTTAGAATTTACAAAAAACGAATAGTACTGATGTTAATGTTACTGCTTTCAATTAATTGTTCTACTTTCCCAAAATAGCACCTATATTTTAATTTTGAGGGTTTTTTTTTAAATGCAGTATATGTCAAATGTACAGTTTAGCACCAAGCCAGTAGATGTCAGTATGATGTCTTAAGTTAAGCCTTCTTCAATTAAAAATAATTTTTTTATTAGTCTGTGTACTTCCTTCAGAATTTTAGTGGGTTCATAAGAGTTGATTAATTGTTGAATGAAAAGGGTAGCAAATGTGATATACTCTAAAGCAGTGTTCTCAACAGGGGGTGAACTTGCCCCAGAGGACATTTAGCAATGTCTGGAGACACTTCTGCTTGTCACAGCTGGGTGAGTGAATGCTACTGGCATCTAGTTGTTAGAGGCCAAGGATGTTGCTACCATCCTACGTTGGATAGGACAGCCCCTCAACAAGAAGGAATTACCCAGGGGTGTCTGGGTGGCTCAGTCGGTAAGTGTCTGCCTTCAGCTCCAGTCATGATCCCAGGTTCCTGGGATAGAACCTTGTGTCAGGCTCCCTACTTAGCAGGGAGACTGCTTCTCCCTCTGCCCCTTCTCCCGCTTGTGCTGTCTCTCTCTCTCAGTAAATAAATAAAGTCTTAAAAAGAATTATCCACCCCAAAATGTCAGTAGGGTTTAGGTTGAAAAACTCTGGTCCAAAGAAATATAGGAGGCAAGCAGTTAGTTGGTAGGGCATGTGACCCTTGATCTTGAGGTTTTAAGTTTGAGCTCCACATTGGGTGTAGAGATTACTTAAAATCTTGGGAGGGGGAAGAAATACACGATTAGTGGCACCTTTTAAAATTATTTATTTATTTAAAGATTTTATTTGTGAGAGAGAGAGAAGCAGACTCCCTGCTGAGCAGGGAGCCCGACGTGGGGCTCAATCCCAGGACCCATGACCTGAGCCAAAGGCAGATGCTTAACCAACTGAGCCACCCAGGCACCCTTAATTTTTTTTTTTTTTTAAGATTTTATTTATTAGAGACTGAGATAGAGCGGGAGTCGGGAGGAGAGAGAGAAAGAAGCAGGCTGCTCCCTGAGCAGGGAGCCCGACTTGCGGCTTGATCCCAGGATCCTGGGATCATGACCAGAGCTGAAGGCAGACGCTTAACTTAACACTGAGCCACCCAGTTGCCGCATGACATGTCTTTTAAATAACACTAGTGAAAACTGAATCACATCTTTAGCAGATGATTAGGGTTTTTTGTATTTAAATAACCCTTACTGGACTATTTCTCTGTCATAGAAATACGTGTCATATTAGGGTTTATTTTATTACATTTTGCGTTACTTTATTTTGCTAGACTAATGGGTAGGTGTTCCCAAATAGATTAATAGGAGAATATAAGTGCTGTGTTACACATGTCTTAAGCTAAATTGAATCCACATGGCTCTTACTAAAAAATAGATTAAAATACCTGAAGTTCTTTCAAACCAATTTTTGTTTTAAATTGCTCTTTCTGGTTTATGGTTTGTTGAACTTCCCTGAAGATAGATTGCTGATTGATCCATAATTATAATTATTGTATAAATGTTTCTCCATCTTTAAGGTAAAATGAAACATTTCTGGATAGTTGGAAAGTTTTTCTCAAGGGAAAATTGTGGAGATAAACTTTTAACTAAAAGTGAAGAGTATAGTTCTTTAGTAGAGTATGTTTGTAAATGAGAAAGTAATTGTAACACTTGTCAGACTTAGTTTTCCCAGATTTTTTTTTCTTAAAGATTTTATTTACTTATTTGACAGAGACACAGTGAGAGAGGGCACACAAGCAGGGGGAGTGGGAGAGGGAGAAGCAGGCTTCCTGCGGAGCAGGGAGCCCGATGCGGGGCTCGATCCCAGGACTCTGGGATCATGACCTGAGCCGAAGGCAGACGTTTAACTACTGAGCCACCCAGGAGCCCCTTTTTCCCAGATATTTAAAGCAGAGTAATATTGGGAGAATGGAGAAAAAGTATAAATCTTTCAATTTTATTATTTAGAGGTAAACTTTTTATAAAATAATTTCAGTGGAAGGTGAGATTATTAAGGTAGGGGGAAAAAGGGGGCACAGGAGGCTCAGTCGGTTAAGCATCTGCCTCTTGGTTTTGGCTCAAGTCATGATCATGAGATCGAGCCTTTCTTCAAGCTCCTTGCTCAGCAGGGAGTCCGCTTGAGCTTCTTTCTCTCCCTTTTCCTCTGCCCCACCCCCAACAGGCGCACACTCGATCTTTGTCTCCCTCTAAAATAAATAAATCTTTTTTTAAAAAGGAAGAAAAAGCGCGGTACATAGAGAAAAGGTTGGTTTTAGAAAAAAATGGAGGAAAGATAAGCGACCTATTTTTGCCTTTCTAAACAGCTTTGAATATTCAGGAGTAAACATGTAGTCCTTGTACTGTATTCTGACATTGACCAAGTCAAAAAAATTAATAATAGAAATAATAAAGTAGGACAATGATAACATTCAGTTTTATTTTCTCATCCTTTTTATGTTCTGGAAGCCTGTTTTTGCATTTTTTTATTTTTAAGATTTTTTTGATAAAATGAGAGAGCACAAGCAGGGGGGAGCAACAGAGGGAGAGGGAGAAGCAGGCTCCCCGCTGAGCAGGGAGCCTGTGTAGGGCTTATCTCAGGACCCTAGGATCATGACGTGAGCTGAAGGTAGCCGCTTAACCGACTGAGCCACCCAAGTGCCCCTGTTTTCGCATTTCTTTTTTTTTTTTTTTTAAGATTTTATTTATTTATTTATTTGCGAGAGAGAATGAGAGACAGAGAGCACGAGAGGGAGGAGGGTCAGAGGGAGAGGCAGACTCCCCGCTGAGCAGGGAGCCCGATACGGGACTTGATCCCGGGTCTCCAGGATCATGACCTGAGCCGAAGGCAGTCACCCAACCGACTGAGCCACCCAGGTGCCCCCTGTTTTCGCATTTCTAATGCTTGATTCAGTCATTGTAGAACAATTGAAATTTTAAGAAGTTAGTATTTCTTAGTGAATTTTGCCTAAATCCTAGTAAAACTGTAACAACACAAAAAAATCCTTTAAGTAACACTTATTAGACTTTATGTATGTACACGTTTCATTTCCTCTCAAAATGTTGAGTACTATGGTGCCTGGATGGCTCAGTCAGTTAAGCATCTCCTGGGATTGAGCCCCGTGTTGGACTCCCTGCTCAGTGGGGAGTCTGCTTCTCCCTCTGCCCCTCACCCCGCTCATGTTCTCTCTCACTCTCTCTCCCTCAAATAAATAAATAAAATCTTCAAAAAAAAAATGTTGAGTACTATTCAGCCACATATCTTTTTTAATATTTTACATGATCTGATCCCTAACAGAAACCTATTACATAACTACTTAGAGATAACTAATACTGGCTTATGAGTAAGTGTTTATTCAGAGACTATATAGAATTCTTGAACTTCTTAGTCATTTGTGTACCACTTTAAGATTTCAAGTCCCCTTGCCTTTTACCCTAACAATTCTAAAACTTTAATCATAAAGTCTTGTAGCTTGAATACATGGATCATTCTACTAATGAAGTAAAAAAGAACATTAATCCTATTATAAATGCAAGACATCCTCTAAAGTGGCAAAAGAGGGGGTGCCTGGGATCTCAGGGTTCTGGGATTGAGCCACACGTTGGGCTCCCTGCTCAGCGGGGAGTCTGCTTCTCCCTCCATTCCCTCCCCCCCAGCTTGTGCTCACTCACTCTCTCAAATAAATAATTCTTTATATAAAGTCAGAATCAACTGACACTTCGAATTCCAAAATCATGGTGGCAGAGTTAAGAAGAACTAACATAGGACTCTTGCACCTCATATGTTTTAGCAGAGTGAAACCTAAATAATTCAGTCCTCAATAGTAATTCCTTGGAAAACATTGTTTTAGTAAAAGTGGGAAACAAAAGAAGCACGTAAAGACCCTGAACTTGATGCGCCGGGCTAAGTGGAACCGATTTAGCTGATGTCCTTTTCATCTGCTCTCTCTGTGCATCCTGAGTCTCACAGTAGCATTGCATGTCTTGCTGTGTAACCGCATCTCACCCTCTGCACAAGTGCATGACTTGGAGAGAACTTTCCATCAATTGTGTACCCCTGGGCCTTGCTCTCTCAGCCCTAAGAGTGGGGAGCATATACGGTCGTACCTTTGTTGAGGGGTCAAGCTTTGGAGACTGCCAAAGGTAGACTTAGGAGGAAAGACATTTGATGCTTTTACATTTTGGTAAATCTTAATGTTCACTGTTAGCACTAGTAGAGACATACGATCTTGGACACAGGACCAAAGACCACGTCAGTCCCAAGAGTTTCAACTTCCCCTATTCTTCATTTGTACAAAAATTTCAAGTGCTGGGGGGTGGCTCAGTTGGTTAAGCATCTCCCTTCAGCTCAGGTCATGATCCCGAGATTCTGGGATCAAGTCCTGCATCGGGCTCCTTGCTCGGCGGGGAACCTGCTTCTCCCTCTGCCTCTGTCTGCCGCTCCCCCTGCTTGTGCTCTCTCTCTCTCCCTGACAAATAAATCTTTAAAAAATTCAAGTGCCTTAGTCTCTGGGCCACAACCTAGAGTCTTACCTGAAATCTAGAGGATAAAACAGGGACTTCTGCCACAGTGACAGTGTATTGTGTTGAACCTTAATACAGAGGTGGTCACTTCTTTCTGGTAAAAAAAAAAAAAAATGCAGTATTTATGTAGAAAGCAAAAAAATTCTCATTTTCTGCTGAAGAAAAATTTGGAATATGTTAAACATGGATGAGTTTGCTTATTAAATATGACAGAAATTTATCATAAAGGTACTAAGGAATTTACCCTGGATATCCATGCCCACAAGGCATTAAAGAATTTGGTGAAAAGAGGGGCTCCTGGGTGGCTCAGTCGTTAAGCGTCTGCCTTTGGCTCAGGTCATGATCCCGGGGTCCTGGGATCGAGCCCCACATCGGGTTCCCTGCTCGGTGGAAAGCCTGCTTCTCCCTCTCCCACTCGCCCTGCTTGTGTTCCCTCTCTCGCTGTGTCTCTCTCTGTCAAATAAATAAATAAAATCTTTAAAAAAAAAAAAAGAATTTGGTGAAAAGAGATAATGCTACATGTGTGTAGCAAACAGTGAAGATATTCTGTTTAGATACCTAGATAGAATTATTGGTTTTCCAGCAGGAAAAGAATCCTATCTTCTGTGGTTGGCTGGATCCAGGCCAATCTTTGTGAGCTCTCTGATCCAGGTAATAATTGACCCTTAAGAGGCTACTCAGAGCCTGAATTCTCTTGGCTACATAGATCTCTTAAATACTGACTAGAATTTATTAAAAATGCTACAGTGGGAACTATACATAAGGGTTTGACAGAATACTAACCTCTCAGAGCACTTTGACAGTCCTATACTCCTCCCCTACTTCTTCCATGTGGCCTTTCCAGCCCAGCGTACTCCTCTCGTGAGACCTTTGCAAATCCACAAGTTAATGCTGAGATGGCACTGAATCTTTTTTTGGGTCTGAGATAACCTGAGGTTTTCATTGTCAGAAGCCATTTAGGTTTGCTCCTGGTGGGTATAAAGTCAAACTAAGGACAAAAAACATGTATTGATGGGGTGCCTGTGTGGCTCAGTTGGTTTAAGCATCGGACGCTTGGTTTTGGCCCAGGTCATGATCTCAGCAGGACCATGAGATCGAGCTCCGCCTTGGGCTACACTTCTGTAAAGCCTGCTTATGATTCTCCCTATCCCTCTGCCCCTCCACATGCATGCACGTACATGTTCTCTCTAAAAAAAAAAAAAAATGGTTTTAAGCAAAGGATTGAAGTGATCACAGTAATTAGAGGCACGATAAAAGCCTCCTCTATTGGACATGTAGTGTGCAGCACATTTCCTGGTTTAACTGCAAAATAGTTGCTATGTCTGTGGGTTCCAGGAAAGAAATGTTTCCCTTCCCACTATAATTTTGTATTCAGAATATTTTGAAAATTAAAATTAACATCTAAATATCTTTACAAATTGTTTTTATTAGACATAATGGAATGAGAATGTTTCAAGAATCACACATTTCACTGCCTTATTTTATGACTTATTACTAAGGGGATATTTAGGCCATAATTTATTGTCTGTACTGGGAACTTATTTTGAGAAGAGGGGGCCAAGGATAATTATACCAAGACACTGGGTATAAACCAAGACTAAGTCGAAACATTATTGCCTACTTATTACTCATCTTGAGGGGAAAATTGACCTGCTCTTGGTGCTCACTAGTTTCAAAACAAGCCTCAGGCTTATACATGAAAGAAGATTTCGTCCCAAACTACTTTGGACCATAAAGTATTTGTTTTTCTTGTGTATATAGAGGACATATATCAGATAATTCGATAGGGTACTACTTAAGGAAGTCCCTGAGTCAGCTCCTTATTCGAGCCCCTTAATGATGGAGTTTGAATGTGATCATTATGCCTAAACTAAGGCAGTGGTTCTTCAAACTGGTATGCCGCAGAATCACCTGACAGGCTTATTTAAAAAACACAGATTGCCTGGCCTCGTTTCCAGAATTTCTGATTGAGAAGGTCTGGGGTGGGGCCCGAGTTTGCATTTCTAACAAGTCATCAGGTACTGCTCTGCTGCTCTTCTGGGTTAACATGCTTAGGCACCCTCCTCCCTAAGGTACACATAGTGGGTTTCCATACGTAATACGTGATTTTTATTATTTATTTATTTATTAAATTGTAGTGGTTTTTTTTTTTAAGATGTTATTTATTTGACAGAGACACAGCGAGAGAGTGAACACAAGCAGGGGGAGTGGGAGAGGGAGAAGCAGGCTTCCTGCAGAGCAGGGAGCCCGATGCGGGGCTTGATCCCAGGACCCTGGGATCATGACCCGAGCCGAAGGCAGATGCCCAACGACTGAGCCACCCAGGCGCCCCGTAATACGTGATTTTTAGAAAAACTCCAGGAGGGGCGTCTGCCTGGCGACTCTTGATCTCTGGGTTGTGAGTTTGAGCCCCATGTTGGGGGTAGAGATTCCTTAGAAAAATAATTTTTTTTTTTTTTAATTTATTTGGCAGAGACACAGCGAGAGATGGAACACAAGCATAGGGAGTGAGAGAGGGAGAAGCAGGCTTCCTGCCTGAAAGGTAGCCTTATGTGGGGCTTGATCCCAGGTCCCTGGGACCATGACCTGAGCCGAAGGCAGACACTTAACGACTGAGCCACCCAGGCGCCCCAAAATAAATTTTTTTTTATTTTGTTTTTAGAGACACTGCGCACTAGCGGGGTTGGAGTAGTGGGAGAGGGGGAGAGCATCTTAAGCAGGCTCCAGGCCAGTGCAGAGATTGTCGTGGGGCTAGATTTCACAACCCTGAGATAATGACCTGAGCCAAAATCAAGAGTTGGATGCTTAACTGACTGAGCCACCCAGGCGCACCTGAAAAGCTACTTTGACATAGTTTCTTTAAGAGAAGTATCACAACTACTTAAGCAACAGATAAGCTGGGGAAAA